ACATCTGGGACTCCTCTCAACAACAACAAAAATCATACAATGACTTGATCGAACCGCAAAATGAATCCAGTACCTGTTATCCGCTTCAACGGAATTTGAATTGCCAATGAATTTCACCCGATCACCTAGAGAAAGAACGAATCACAAATAGGATGAATAAAAAACAAACAAGAGATATTAAAGTCCACAACATTCAAAGACACAAGGTAGAGATAGAAATCCTGAAGCAAAAAGTTATACATATGATGGAAGATGAATATCCTAGTTTGCAATAAAAGTTACCTTTTTTGGGAGGCCTTTTGGAGTTGTCAGCAGCCTCAGCAGTGTCAGCCTTTGAGACCTCCGGGGAGGCTTCTGATTCTTCAGAGAGACGCTGCACAAAGTAAATCCATACCCAAAAATTAGGGCACAATTTGAATATCAGCAAATGTGCACCTGGAGAAGCACGACACCAATTATGTAGAAGCAAACATCGAGTCTAACTTTGAAATAATGTCAAGCACCTAATCGAGCTCTAACCTTAACACCACCAAACCGGAAGTATCCTGAAATGCCTCTGGGAATGTTACTATGGAAACAGAAAAGACATTCACATGCATAAGGAGCAAACCTTTTCAAATTCTTCTAAATCGTAAGGGATGAGCTTCCTGAGGGCTGCCTCAGCAGTTGCCGGCACATCAACTGCTTCATCATCACTAGCTTCTGATTTACCTTCAGCACTACTTGTCCACTCCTCTTCATTGGCTGCTTCATTCTCTTCATCAACCTCAGACTCTGACTCCTCCCCTGATTCTGCTGCATCATCTTCTAACTCTGATGAGCAGTCATCAAGATCCTGCTCCAGAACAAGCAGAAAAATCACCTAAAATATACCCAATAATGATGCAACATATAGCATTCCATATTTTGGTCAGCCAATCTTACGTAAGGAGCAAGAACACTGCTATCGAGAACTAGAAGAGGAACTTGTAACTTTCGTGCAAGTGCTCTCACTATTCTTTCCCGATAAAGCTCTGTGCCTGTACATGATCCCATTAAGAAATTATTAGCTCATCTTCATTAGCAGCAATTTCAATATATGCAAAGACTGAGAACTCCAATTCTAAACTTCAAGTGAAGAGATGAACCTGGAGTGCTCTGGAGCAATATTCTGCCACTTGAAGACATCAAACGTGATCCATAAGACACAGCAAAATTCTTATGCTTTAGGTGGGATGTGACACATTCTAACAAAACGTTTCTGGTATTTTCACTGGATGAGGTTGAAAAGTGAGTTAATGACCTGAGCAGAAAAAACATAATAATAGGGGATAAAAGAATATTGCCAAAATCCCCCAGAGTAGAAATAATTACTTGATGTAGTATGGAAAAGTGTCCCATGAAACATGGATCTTCTCCCAAGGAACAACCCTCCGCAGAAACTCATTTTTAAACCTCTCACGCCTGGTTAAAAAAGGCGATTCCTTCTTTTTGGCTTCTACAGCCAGCTTCTCATTACTAAGCCAATCCTTTTGATCTTGTTCCCCTAGACAAGCATGTGTATCACAAGATCTGGGATCTCCTCCAACTTTCCCATGCTGTATCTTTCCATCATCAAAGTTAGGTGTGCCATTTAGAGACGCACGCTTATCCTCACTTGTGTTACGCCCATCACCCTCTGAACTATACGCACGAAACTGCAACCTTTTAGGATATGAACTGAGCCTTCTACTGATATAACTACTACTGCCACACGATACAAAATAATTAAATTGGTATTTCCTTGATGAACTTCTTCCGGAATTGCATACTCGCACTGCGGATGTATGGACTAAAGATCGAGCACAGGCATGATCCATGGTGTTTGGCTTAATTAAGTGTATAGATGGCTTGAAGACTGAACCCCATTTCTGATTACTACTCTTGATTATCCTTGCATACATTGCAGCTCCCTGCCCCCTATATTTTACCACCCTGTATAAAAAGTACAATGAAAACAACACACAGAGGGATGAGAGAAGAAACTGGACCCAGCAAATACAGCATCACTTTATCATGTATCACACAGGCAAGTTTTTCAGGCTCCTAAAATGGTAAACTACAAACTTGTCATCCAAAAGAACCGATTTCTTAACTCCACATACTGCTGGTATTTGTAAAACAAATTATCATTCAAGCTTGCAGAACAGATATGCAGAGCTGGTTCCTCATGAACCAAAAAATCTAATTGAGCCGCGCTCCTATATCCTAGTGGTATTCCAGGCTCTCTCTCACTTACTCACCCGTCTCTCTTCCCGGCCAAGGAAACCAGATTAGATTGTTCACACTCCAAAAAGTACCCCCTTCCCTAATTCTTGAATCTCAAACTACCATCAATTATTCCAAAACCAGTACTCCTGAACATCTCCCTAAGGGTTCCGGCATTTGTTTTTTCAAAGAAAATCAGTCCCCTTTCTAGCCCACCAGAGAAAACAAATGCACCCAATTCTACCATTACAACTCCATTCTCCAGCCACTGCCCTCCATCAGTCCTAACCTTACATCAAACGATGCATTCTCAAAGCTGCGAACTTTAACATCGTAGCTGCAGAAAAAGATATGCAGCAATGGAACCAAACCACACGGAGCAGTCTTAACCAAATTCAAGTTCAATTTTCTTTTTACCCGGCAAGCAAACGGTGTAGCTCGGATTATTTAAAAACTCAAATTGCATTGCTATTTTAATCCTCGACCAATTCATGCACAAGCAAACAGAAACGGAAACAGGGAGAGAAAACCCGAACACAAAATAAAGAATCCCAAACCTTATCCGAAATCGGATTTTATTTTTTCCTGAAGAATGAATGCTTCAATTCTTCTCCATGGGAAACAAATTGGAAAGAGGGACGAGGAGAAGAAGAAGAAAAAAAGCAAACAAAAATGAAGAGGAAGCTAGAGAAAGGGCGAGGGAAGCGGGCGACAAACAGGGGAAAGGAAGGGAGCTTTTCTTGGTGGCTTGGGCTATAAGGGAGAGGATTTGGAGGGCGAACGTTTAGAGTCTGCGACCAAGATTTGTGTTACACCGCCTGTTCTGCCCTGTTCTTCCTTCGCTTTGGGGTCTTTTTTTTTTTTTTGGTCACCCTCTTCCCTACTTCCACTGTTTGAAGATGTTTCTGACGCTTTTGTTTCGTAGGTTTCTCCCCCACCCCCAGTATTTTGCCCCCTCCAGCAGTTGGGCCTTTGGGTCACTGCCTGATTGGCGGCCCATATAAGTCCAGGGTCTTTGTTTCGCAGTAGGCTATTTTTGGGCCTGAGAATCCGAGTTGAATTTATTATTTTTATTTTTACTTTTATTTTATAATAATGGCCCTTATTTTTGTGTTGATGAATGATGATAATATGAATTACGATGGAAGTCCAGATTCGATGAGAAAAGCAGGTCATATATTTATGGGCAGCGGCGGATCCAGAAAATAGAAGAGCACTGGGCCGCATTTCATTAGAAAATTAGAACCGTAAAAAAATATTATAGTTTTTTTACAATATAAATTGTACACGATGGTATTTTAATTTAGCGAATACATCAATAATGGAGTCTACATCCATACCAATAGTATACACTGTTTTAAATAAAAGACTTGAGCAATCGGCGAGAAATTCATTGCTCATTTTGTTGCACAAATAAGTTTTCATACGTTTCATTGTTGAAAAGGTTCTCCCCGTAGTAATTGGTGATACGATCAGCGTCAACGCTAGACAAATCAATCGTGCATTGTGTGTCCATACCTATATCCACTAGCTGCTTTAGTAAATTTTCAGGGAATAAAACTCATATTTCTTATAGTTTTTTACGTTTAGACTTTTAGACTTTTAGATTTCATTGTTTTTTTAGAAGAATAATCTTTGGAGGTAGAATTTTTAGGCTAAATTTATAGTAGTGATTTTAATATGTTAATCTGAATCATTTTTCTAGTTACACCCAATTTTGTTGTAAAATAACACTGGGCCGAATAACTAAAATCGAAAAATTCATAAAGACTATACTAACTCTGGATCCAGAGGAGGGCTGGGCCGGGGCCCGGGGTGTCCACCCCCTGGATCCGCCAGTGTTTATGGGTCGATCCGCTGTAGAGCTACTGAATTGGACATTTTTTTTTCTCTTTGCTTTACTCGATCTAGACCAAATTAACAACCTGGCGACTCGATTGGGCCTGGACTAAATCGTATTAACAACCTGACATCTGGGGTAACCATATGAAAATGGTGACATTTTAAAATGCCAACCCTTCTAAACAAGGAGCCAATTTCACAGTGTTATTAAAGCCGAGTCGAGCCGTTCGGCTCGACCGGTAAAACCGCTAACCGGTCATAAAATCGGTTCGAAACAGTTTAAAAATCGCTCCGATTTTATATAGCGGTTGGCGAGCGGCCGAGGCGGTTATCCCATGGAGCCAATCGAGCCGCTCGTCCGGTTTTTGCCATTTAGTCACTAAATTTAATTAAAAAAATTATAAAAAATTGAAAAATGAAATAAATAAAAAAAGAAGGGCTCTCAAACTGAATCCTTATTTCCATTTCACAATTTTGAAAGAAAGAGATGATGAGGTTTGATTAAGAAATGTCCATTATTTATACTGATTAAGAAATGTTCATTATTTTACGGTTTTTAAACGGTCTAGTATCGGTTGGTCTAACGATTTTTAAACGATAATATCGATTGGACTACTAAAGTGCGAGCCGTTCGCATTACCGGGTCATGCTCCGATTCGGCTCTGACAAGATTGCAATTTCATGAAATTGAACCCAAACATCCAATTCAATACCCTCATCCAAATACACAAATTTATTTCAGATTCTCTCTCTGACAATAATTTATTCCAGATTTTCAGTTATCACATAGAAGTATACAACACGAAGAAGTTCATAGAGACAGAGATAGAAACACCCAAAATCACCAACTCAAAATGAAAATACATATTACATACAATACAGCCTTGAGAAAACCCCAAGAAACTGCTCCCTATAAAGCCCTCTTCTTAATTTTAAGTACGCCCAGGGCTCCTGGACCCAACACCTTCCTGGACACTCCTGGTGGCATCCTGGGCCTTCCCCTGAACAGCCTGGCCCACATCCCGAGCCTTCTGCCCCACCTGGCCCGCCACATCCTGGGCCCGCCGCTTCGCGTGCTCCATCTGCTCCGGCACCACCGCCCCGACCCTCGTCCGGCGAATGTAGTTCGCCATCCACGACAGCGACGACAGCGCCGTGATCCCGAACGCACCGGACGTCAGGAACCCCATCACCGCCATCCCGATCGCCAGCGCCGCCGGAACGATCACCGGGCTGCATATCACGAACACCGGCGTCGCCACCGCGAGCCCGATCAGCGTCGCCGCCAACACGAGGCCCGCTACCAGCAGCAGGAACCCGCCGAGCGGCAGGAGCGTGACCACGGCTAGAATCTGCTGAGTGGAAGGTCCGCGCTCCGGCAGCATGCTCTTCATCATGCCGCCGGCGCCGTACTGGTCTTGATCTTCACGGCCGTAGTAATCGTGCCGACGGTGGTCAGCCATTGTGAAAGTGTCGGAGATAAAGGAGATAGATAAGTCATAAGAGATATATATAGCGGAAAGAAGAGGGACACGTGGAGTGAGGTGGTGACACGTGGCGAGGTTGCGGATGACTCATTTGCATGCATAATACGACGCCGCCGACAATGGGGGTGTCTTAGGGGGAAAAACAAAATTGATTTTTTAATTATTATTATTACTGTAGAAAGAAATTGACAAGCTTGCTTGCTGAAAAAGAAAACAGAAGGGAAAAAAAAATTAATTCCACTGACCCAACCCGACTCGAAGTCGGAAAAGGAGACCATAATCGATTTATCGTACAACAGAGACGAATAAGACAAAATTGATTTTCAATGTGTCAATTTTAGAAGAAGAGAAACAATTGTTTGATTAGGGTTGTTTTGTTTTCAAGCTGCAGGGAGAATGGTGGTCTCGGCGATCATGGATGTGACAACGTAGGGATCCATGTTGGAAGCCGGCCTTCTGTCCTCGAAGTAACCTTTTCCTTGCTTCTCGGTGTCGCGACCGATACGAACCGACGCTCCCCTGTTGGCTACACCCTGTAAAAATCCGCACGCAGACATTGAATCAACATTCCGACATCTCCGTAGAAACGGTTTAGCTAGCAAGAAGAAGGACAGAATGCAAGACGCGTATACCCAAGTGAATTGGTTGATACTAGCAGTCTCATGGTTGCCGGTCAATCGTCTCTCGTTACCCTCGCCATAAGCAGCGATGTGCTCGGTGTGGCGGGCTTCCAACTTCTCGATCGCGGCGTTGATCACATCGATACCACCGTCGCCCCTCATCGACTTGGTACTGCGCGTTACGACATTACACAACAGTACAACAAATCCGACTCAACACGAAACAAGTACACAACTAGTTCCAGTCAAGGTATAGGGGCACAAACCTGTAGTTAGTGTGAGCACCAGCGCCGTTCCAATCGCCCTAGTCAAAAATTCAAGACATTCTCGTCACGCTAATCGACATGATGAACCAACCAACGTCGCGGCTAGCAGAGGAAAGAAAAAAGCAAATTGGTACGACGTCACATACCGGAACTGGCTTAGGGTCGAAGCTGACCACAACTCCTGCGATTTCAGTAATCCTCTGTTCGGGGAAAACCACATCGTTAACAAGAATGACTAGGAAAAAAGAAATGACAAAGAGATAATTAATTACCTCGAGGATGTAACGAGCGGCCCAGACCTCGTCACCAGCAGAAATGCCGACAGAAGGTCCGACTTGGAATTCCCACTGAGGGGAGACAAGAAAGTACATATTTGAGGTGGCGTGCGTTTCAAGGAATTAAGCTAGAGTGGGTTGGGTGTGTATACCTGGCCGGGCATGACCTCGCCGTTGATCCCACTGATGTTGATTCCGGCGTACAAGCAGGCCTTGTAGTGAGCGTCGACGATGTCTCTTCCGAATGCCTTGTCAGCTCCATTTCCGCAGTAGTAAGGTCCCTACAAACACACACACAAAAAAAACTTAAAAAAAATGTACATTGCGAAAAGAAACGAACTTGTTACGAAACGAGATTTCTTGGGGGAGAAGCTATTGATACCTGGGGGCCAGGGTAGCCATTTTCGGGCCAGCCAAGAGGCCACTTGCTCATCGTCAGAAGTGTGTACTCCTGCTCGATCCCGAACCTAACAATACAAATGTCGGAATATTAATATATATTTAATTATGTTCATAACGGTTTCTAGTTTCTATAATAATATTTAAGACTAATTTGAAAATGATCTAACTTCTACGATGATGACGAGTACAGACTCTAACATTAATATAAAAATCACCTAATTTTTACGATTTTGATACTAAACAGAAATCTATGGAATTAGATAACAATCCTCTCCTTCATTGTATAACATAATACCACTCGTATTATAGGAATAAGATAGTTACCATGGTTCCTCGGCTTCAACGTCGGGGTTGCTGAAGATCTCGGCAGCTTTGGCCCGCTTGTTGGTTGGGATTGGCTCGCCGGCGGGGGTGTATGAATCGCATATGACCTATAATTAATAGCAAATTTATTAATTACAATTCAATTAATTAACTATTAATGAAGTGATTGATTAATTATTACGAGAGAATCGTGAGTTTTTTTTTACCAGGATGTTGTTTCCCTTTCTGAAGGGATCCTTGAAGATCGCTCGTGGACTAAAACCGAGTCAAACCGGACCACCCAACACAAACAAAACAACCCAAATTAAAAATTCATCGCCGGAGAGTTTTTTTTTAAAAAAAAGGAGGCCGGAGGAGACAGGACGTACTAGAGGATGACTTCGCTGTCATCGCCGGGGGCTTGGTTGGTGGAGCTGCCGTCGTAGTTCCACTTGGGTAGCTCAGACGGGTTGGTCACTGGTCCGGGCAGAGTCTGCAGAACCGAAACAGGGGCGATCAGGAAACCGAAGCAAAGCGAGAAATTAAAAAAAAAAAATTGACTTGGGAAAAAAAGAATCAAAGTATCAAACCCACCCTTGCTTTGCTCCTCATGTCCATACCAGATCCACCAACCCTAGAGGAAAAGAAGGCCGACGTGAGGATCAATCACATTGCGTTTTATTCGGAGTGGAAGATTGAATTTGTTATTAGAAATTGGGGAGGGGATAGAGAACGAACCAGATGTACTCGGCGATGATCTTCTCGGTGGTGTCGGAGAGGTCGAGGTTGACGAAATCGTGGAGGGAAGCCATGGCTGACCGGAGAAATGAGGGAACACCAGAGAATGGGGAAGACGGAGGAAGGGAAGAGAAGGAGAAGAAGAGTTAATCGGGGACATAAACCAATGTGATTCGGTTGTTTAAATATAGTGGAGGTGACGGAGTCAAAATTAACCTAAATGAATTTCTGGGTTTTTTTTACCACCGTAAGTAGGGGAAATGATACAAATTTTAAATACGAAAAAGAGCAAATTGACAGAAAAAATGTACAATTTGTTTCTTGATTTTTCATGTTGTCAAAACAAATGTGTGGCAGGCACATTTTGGAGCCCGGTTGCACATTTTAGCTTCCACATTTGTCGATCAGTTTATTTGTTGATCAGTAAAGTTAGTTTGATTTTATTGGGTGAATAAGGCTCGGCTTATAGAAGGCAAAGGAGCTCATCTATTGTGCAGAAGAAAGAATACACAAAAAACAAAACTAAATCCGAGTCTACGTTGTCACTGGAGTAGTCTCGTTCGCAACAAACGAGTAAACCACGACGTAAATTTTCGTGTCTTGTGTCCTTGATTTACTTCCCATTCAATTTTCTATAATACATGGCATGACACAGCGTGAAACATCCATAGGACAAACGAGAGGTTCAAATAGGTAGATTTCATGATTTTTATAGATTAGCTGCTACTTTTTTATAGGTTGATATACGGTTAAGGAAGACTTACTGAAACTCCACTTATTAAAAATAAATAATTGTCTTGTTGGTGATTCTGGATTGTTTGTACGTATCAATCGAGGGAGGATTTGACAATTGTTTATATGAATTTTAGTTACACAAAACAAAAAAAATAAAAAAAATCGTATAGATCGAAAAGGAATCATCTAATAGAAAAGCGAAAGGAAGCACACGAAGCTGTGGATAACTGTTTATGAAAACCTGCATTACATTCCCCAGCCGGATAAAGAGAACAACGTAGGAAACGAAGACGAAGCCTTTGTTTGGCTAAGGATCCAACCAATGGAATGGCTTCCTTCCTGCCATTGCTAACGTTTACAAAATTATATGAACGTTTCTCACTTTCTCTTGGTTTAAGTTTAACAAGTGCAACCGATTCTATTTTCACCTGGACTGGACATACAGACCGACGACTGGCGTTGGCTTCTTCAAGGCGACTTTCCACATGACAAATACAGTAAGTAGCCGGACTGCACAATCTGAATCTGAAAGCTTTGTCTGTAGCTCTCGAGGGTCATGTTTGCAGAAGATCGATACCACCCTGCAGCCAAAAAAAACTACATTAAGGTTACTGACTTGAGAATCAACCAGGGGACTGGTCTACAGGAACACCTAATTGTTGCCCCAAAGTACGGTAACTTATAACCCGAAGCTCGCTTGAATATACGAGACAGTTCTAACCTTTCGCATTACCTAAATTCAAGTCTGAACCCATAATGGGTCCAGAGAAAACAGCTTCTCATTCCGGGCATGGGCTGCTTGAGCCGCTGGAGGAGTTGCGTGCACTATGATAGGCAGAACCCAGTCACTCTTGTCTCTCCCTTCTATCAGGAGTGGATGCTCATATCTGTGCATTTGGGAGGCAACAGAAAACAATGCTGAGTTAGGTCTCTTCCTGCTAACCGAATCAAGTACTACTCTTGTAGTTTTATACCGAAGGACGTCACCAATGTCAACATCTCCTGAGAAGAGGTCATGCATACCTTCTCCAGTCAACATTCTTCGGGGTGGTGAAGAATTCAAATCGTAAAGCCCACTGTACAGCGACACGAGGCGTGGAAAATGACATCGGCCCATCCATGGGGATCGAGAAAAGAAAGCTTGTCTGCTGCAAATCTGCAACAACCTCATGATGATCACTCTGAACCTACACTCCCCACAAACAAAAATTTGTCAATATAGTTGGATACTAATGCCCAAATGAAAGAAAAAAATTACAAGATACGTTGCATAAGATCAGGTAGCGTGCCTTCGTTATTGTTGGTGAATTTTTACGAGAAGGATGAACAGATCGCCGACTTATAGTCTCTGAAGTTTCCAATGTTATTGAAACCTGCATTCCAACCCAACTCGTTATCTTGAAGAGTGATTAAGTTGATTCTAACCCTCCAACTGATGATATTAGTTCCCTCTAATTTATCATTGAAGCAATAAGTTATATTTTATAATGTTCTACTGCTATAAGGCCATTACCTCCAGGCATCTCCTCGCTCCTTCTTCATGGAAAAAGGTTAAAGTTCCACCAATCTGTAATAGAATTATGGGTAAGCAAAACGTTTAGGAAAGTCAACAGATGCAGGAAGTAGAAACAGTGTTGGAAAGCTATACCATATCACTGAAGTAGTAAGTAGAGTCAGAATTCCTTGGGGAAAATCTGAGCAAGACACGGTCATCCATCCTGATGTTATATGACCTTCCTCGACTAAAGCCTTCTGCTGCAGAAAATGTTGGCAACGAATAAGTTTATCAGATTTCTCAAATTTCCATCTTCAAAATCTAAATACGTGGCAAATAAGAGAGAAGCCTTTCAATAATTTACATGGAGCAGGTTCATCAGTTTTTGCTGGAGCTGCAGAAGATACCCCTGCATTCTCATCTTCAATATGGGATTTTGCAGTATTCTGCAGCAACCTTGGGGAGGCAACTGCAGAATTCTTGTCCGAAGATGATAAATCTGCCAGACAAAACAAAAGGTAAAGAGAAAAAATGCTTATTTTTGTGACTAAAAGAAGATTGCAAATGTTATTTTCCCTGTTCACTTTAATGGCCACCAAAGCAGACCCAGAATGAAAAAACATGAAAGATATTACCAAGGCATACAACTGAAGCCAAATTTCTCCGTGCCATTATGAACTATATTAGATACAGCAATAAATTATGCTACCAGTCAAAGTACCTGTAGCAGGGTCATATAGAACCTCAGCCACGGAGAGCCGAGGGAGTGGCGGAGTAGGAGACCTTGCTGAAGCAGATTGCAACGATAAGGAACTTCCAAATGTTTTATGTATACTTTCTCTGCCAGGATTGTAAGAAGAAACGGATGATACTTCATCCCTTGAGCTTTCATACCCTTCCTCAAGTGCATCTTCTATGTCATTGGCTCTGGCCTGCATTGACGGAAAGTAATTGACTCATTGTAGATGTGGTGGCTATAATGCTTTGTAACTGGCTCCACAATATAGCTAGAAAATTACAAACTGGTTCACCAGTTGACACTTCTAAGAAATTAAACAGCTTGACAAACAACCTACCCATTCAGATTCCCCATCCATCTCTCTCCAGTATACGTCAAGTTGAATTATATTGGCTGGAACAATCCCTGCAGAAAGGAAGACAACTTAATGAAAATCTAACAACATAACCAGAAACCTTATGAGGCATAATCCCTCGCCATACATCTTTGTACTCTATGGAAAACCTGCAAAAATAATTTCTATATATATCCCTCAAGGTTGAGTATTGAAATGATATACTATTTGTATTAGCCTTCTCTCAATATACTACCACCCTTAGAGAAATCAAATCACGAAAACAGGAAAATCATTAACTTCGTGGTTCCAATATTTCATTATCTTCAAAAGATTAATTACAGTTCAGAGACAAATACTAGAGGGTGAGCATACTGACCCTCATTTGGACCTTCTTCCACTGTCAAGCCATTGTTTTTTTGGGTCACCCATACTTGCAATGGATTACGAGCTTCCTGCCAGGAATTGAACATATCCCCGTTGGGTTAGTGAACATTATTAGGCCACTCTTAAATTAGGAAAACCATATATCTGTAACCCATAAAATTGCATTATGCTAAGACAAAAGGCGAGCTATCTTGAGAACTAATGTGGGATATTTTTTATAGGATATCACATATAAAAAGAAATTCTATATGGAAATTATCACGAAGTTAGGAAAAATCAAATTTCAGAATCTCTGTATGAGTAAGACACCAAATATAACTCACTAGGAAAATAAGGTCATTCCTTGACTCCTTCCGGGAGTGGCCATTGTCCAGTATCAGCCATCGTGCAGATAGCATACCCTTAACATAGTACATATATCGAATGGTGGCACCTCTGTAAGATGGAGGTATCGTGCTTGGAAGAACTGTACGAATAACATCTGGACATTTGCATCGACTTGCCAAATCAGTCCATCAACTCATACAAAATACGCAATATATGTTTAGTTCCTCGCTAGCAAAATAAGATTGTTATGTTCCCTAATTCATGGAGAAGCAACAGCTTAGAGTCTGTTGTGGTATTCGCGTATCAGTAAGTTCCAACAGTGGAGAAGATCTTGAAGGTAATAATTTATTGCTTTAGTGAATGACAACACTAGAGAGGGTGAGCTGGGTATAAACTCTAGCAGGGTAGAACAGTAGCTACATTCTGAGAATTCCACTGTCAAGGAAGAAGCATCAAAACTAAGGTATTCAAGGCAACAGATTCAGTCTCATACTCCCAAAATAAATATGAAATCAAGAAGAAAGGTACCATGTTGATGCATGAACAAAGGCTAACCCCATACATCGTTAAACAGCATACGGGGTCATTAAGAGAACAGGGATGTAACCATCTAGGTTGTAGTACAGCATCAACATCTTTCGTATTTACACATATACAATCGCCAATACAGGGTACCATACTACTTAACCAAACTTACATGTTTTGGTAGCACCAGAGGATATGACATGATTGGAAACTAGTGAGGATGTTGAGCAGTCCATGAAAACATGTTCACCTGAAAGGTTGAAAGCAACACACTCTCGTTCAATCTCATAAAAAATAGCTAGACAGTGAGCACGGCAACTGACAACTTCTAGAAACAAACACAAATATCCGTGGGATTTAATTCCAGGTAGCATCCAAATTCAGGGGGGAAAATAGTAGATTGTGTGCAAACTGCAAAGACCAATACGAACCTCTTCTTTGCCTGGATCCAGAGACAGGCTTTGGAGTAGCAAACCATTGGTTATCCAACTTCTCTATCCCCTTAATTTCGAACCCAAGCCTTTCAACTAAGAGTGATGCTGCAGGCATGCCTTGTTGAGCAGCTCCATCACAGGGATTACTTATCTCAATAGTAACAAAAATGGAATCACCAGGCCTATATACATCTCTATCAGTTTGAAGCTTAAAGGTCGGCACTAGCTCACTTTTCATGCCATCAACAGAAGAACTTCTTCCCTTGTCTTGAACCCCGCCGCCACCGAACAAAGAGAATCTACTCGGCAGCATCACTGCAGACCACCTGAATGCGATCCTAAGTTATTTTTGCCTTATAATCCTCTACAATTTGAACCAATTTCCCTTGAAACCTCTATGTCAATCAACATTATCCTGCAATGGAGCACATAGACCGAAACTGTATTAGAAATTGCATCCTAGAGGAATGGAACTATGAGATCAACTCCGATTCCAAATTCCTCGTCAATCAAAGCTCGACCCCAGTGCTCTGTGTTCATTACAGTCCAGTGATCTGGAAGGAAACAGGAAACAGCGAAATGCTGGCTTTCAAGCTTCGACTACCTCCAGCTGTTGAGCATTACAATGATGGGAATTCGGAACATCACAAGATCGAGCTTCTATATATTAAGAACGCAGCAGAAGAAGAGAAAAGAGGATAACCGAATAAGAAGGAGGTTAGCTTCCGAACCATGGGAGAGCGAACCAGCGGCGCAGCCGTGGTGGGAAGATCCATTGTTCGGGAAGGGGATCGTCGCAAGCTTTCCCGGTACGATTGGAGACGATGATTTGCGATGCAGTGAATTCAGATCCGCGGCGAGAGGAAGCTATTAAGAATAATGAATCTGATAAGGATTTTGATGAAATGAGATGAAAGCTGGAAACTTGAATCAGGGATGTTTTCCTGAATTGTGACACTGAGAATAATGAGAAAGTGGGGCAGTGAAACCGGCGCTTGGAATTCCGTTTTACTTCCCCGTCAAATTTGTTCTAAATTGAGAATTTTGTATCCAGATTATACAATTTTTTAAGTTTGATATAAATAAATTGTGCAAATACAATATATTAGCCATAACTATCAAGCAGCGGGGAATTATAGCCACAACTATCGAAATACAAATTATTAGCCGATCGTTAAGTTTTCGTTAACACTTCTGTTAGTAATGATGACTAAATTTTTACGATGGTGAGCTGGCTCCCACGTGACAGTCATCATATCATATTTTTTACGATGCTGACATGACCTTCTACGTTAAAAATTTGAAAACAGTAACGGGCTGTTAGCCAAATCTTGGCCCACAACAATAGTTATGGCTAATAATTTGTATTTCGATAATTGTGGCTATAATTCCCCGCTACTTAATAGTTATGGATAATATATTGTATTTACCCAAATAAATTTTATAAGTTTTGATAAATTCATTCTGATATGATATTTTTTGTATTTGGTTTATAAAAGAATTTATTTTCAATTCTAAATTTTAAATTATATGAAACTTAATGAAACTAGTTATAGCAATTCTGAATAATTGAGATGGAATTTTCAAATGAATTCCACAAGTATTTACTAATTATAATATAATGATACAATTACTCTCTTTTATTAACTAAATTACTTATACATATGACATACCAAACACATGTATTCATTTGACAATGAATTCTACACAATAATTTATTTTATTTCTAACGATTTGAATATGACTTACCAAACACAATATTTCATTTGACAATGAATTCTACACAGTAATTCATTTTACAATAAAATGAATTCTCGATTCATTTGATACCAAGCGATCTGTAAGTGTAGTGACTAAAAACATTTTATTTTATATGTGCTTTCTGAAATTAATTTAACAATTCAAGTTTGATCATTGTATACTATCTTTGATTAGCTTTTGTTAATGAAGTCAGTTTTTTGTTACATGACTAAAAAAATGTCCAGTCACCTAATTTTTCACACAAAAACCATCAAACTCGACCCACCCACGTCATTAAAATCCACCACATAATTATTAAACTCGTTGTTTGCTTGATAGATTTGGTGATAGATTTGGATCCATCATGGACTTTGTCCAAAATTCATTGTTTGCTTCATATATTTAGGAGCAACAAATCTGTGGGGCTCACGAACTTTAAGGGTCTAAATCCATGGACCCCACAGACATTGAAAGTTCCACCACTTTATATAGGAATTGATCATGGACTTTAATCAATTCTATCATTTACGACCTAAATACCCCTCCCATTTCATTTCTCTTCTCATACCAATGAGGGTTATAAAGGTAAATTTCATTTCATATATACAAATCTAATTAACCAATTCTATTATGAAATCTACGAAGCAAACAATGGTATTTTTCAAGTTCATAATGAATCCAAAACCCTCATATAGCTATGGTTTTACAAAATCCAAGGGGTCGTTTGCTTGAGGGTTTTGATGATGGATTTGGTCATGGAAATATATCCATCATGGATTTGAACCGAAATCCATCGTTTGCCTTAGGGAATTAGGGAGATGGAATTTGTGGGGCCCACCACTTTTGGGGTTCCAAATCCGTGGACCCCACGGACTTGGAAGTTCCACCTCTTGAGGTGGGATTTGGGTGATGGATTAAAATCCATGATGGTAAATTACCTTTATACCCTTAATTATTTCTTTAATTACAAATTTGTCATACTTTAATTCAATGGTCATGCAACTGTAAACTTTTATAATTTCGTATTTTATAAATATGAGAATTTATCATTTCATTTTGTAATATCGTATTTTATTTAAATATGAATGTATATGTGATTTGTTAGATTCACCTAGAAACACTTTATGCTCATCTTGTACATTATTATTTGATTGATTGTCGGATTCCACATCGGTGAGTTAGCAAGAAGATGATGAGTTGTAGCAATAAAGCGAGCAATTGGCTGCAATTGATACATAATATTGCGTACATTATTAGATGAATTGTTTTTTTTAATGAAGGATTATTAGATGAATTTTTAATTAGTGCCAAGATGAATTGTTAATTAGTGCCAAATTGTAATACATTTCTATATTTGTAGTTGAATTATTAATCCACATAGTGGTAAAGAGTTTAAAATTTCTTTCTATGTTTTGGATTAGTTTTAAATGAAAGATTTGGATTATAATATAAAAATATAATTAAATAAGGGTAACTAGGTAATTTGTATTTAATATCCACAAATCTAATCAAACAAAGTCCATAATCAAATCCATCAAGCAAACAATAGACTTGTTCAAATCCATAATGCCACCAAATCCATCATATATCCATGGTTTTCCAAAACCCAGGTTTTACCAAAACCCTCATTTTTCAAATCCATGAAGCAAACGACCCGCAAGTTTTACTAAAACCTTCATTTTTCAAATCCACAAAGCAAACGACTAGTAATTCTCAGGTTAAACCCCTAAACTCTGATCAACCACCACTTCTACACTTGCACTTGTGGTAAGCACTATTCCATAGGGCTGGCTATTTGGTCCGAGTTTTTTGGTTGTACCCGAAACTAGACCATATCACCCGGACCAAGACCGGACCGGATAGCAAACAATCTAATCCCATATTCGGGCATAGATTTGAGGTAAAAATCGTTCGGGACCGGACTGAAAACTGGATACGAGAGCCCAACACCCAAAATTTAACCAACTCCTCACCTTTTGAGGCCTAAAACCACTTAAATCTCACAAGTTCAATCTAAAATCAAAATCAAATTGGGACAGGATAAAGATCAACTGTATCAAATCCAATATTTAATCCTTATATTCACGAAAAAACCTGATCAATTTGGGTCAATTTAATCAAACCGAACCGGACCGTATAGCCACCCCTACTATTCCACTATAAACAAATGGGGGTGCGAAATTGGAAAGTAATGCTCCTTCTAGAGTATATGGGCTGGAGATGGCGAAAGAAAGCCCAATGAAGCAGCAATCTTCTTCTATTGGGCTAAAAATGTTAGGGAATCTGGGCTAGTACACGTGGCAAATCAGTGAGACGCTTTGAATCACCCGCGTAGCCGTTGATGCTAACCAACCACACCACAGGATATCTTTTTTTTTTTTTTTGACAAGACACCACAGGATAAGAAGAGGGAAAAAGGAACGAACAGAAGAGGAGAGCTTTCGAGCAACAATGGCGTCCGTAACGTCTCCCTTCACCACAACCAACGCCTCTTTCATTCTCCGACCGAACTCCCAAAATCACCAGCCTGCTCACCGTTCCTTTCCACTGCCTCCGAGAGCTTGCCTGAACGAATCCCAAGACCAGCACCGTATCCAGCTCAACCGGCGGCAGTTCATTTCACAAACCGCCGCCATTGTCGCTGCCACAGCTCCTCTCACGCTCATCGATCAGAGTCCAGCAGTAGCTGACGAGGCGCTTTCTCAATGGGAAAGAGTTTACCTCCCCATCGACCCCGGCGTCGTCCTCCTCGACATTGCATTTGTCCCCGATGACCCAACACACGGTCTCTTTCCCTCTCTCTCACTCGCGCTAAGGTTTCAATTTGTTGGAAATTGTCGAAATTGAATTGAATTCCATGCTTGGTTTCACCTATAGGGTTCGTATTGGGGACAAGGCAGACTCTTCTGGAGACGAAAGACGGGGGAGCCACTTGGTTTCCGCGATCCATAGCTTCTGCCGAGGAAGAAGACTTCAATTACAGGTTTAATTCCATTAGCTTCAAAGGAAACGAAGGCTGGATTGTTGGTAAGCCGGCGATTTTGTTGTACACGCCTGATGCCGGCGAAACCTGGAAAAGGATACCGCTGAGTGCTCAGCTCCCCGGAGACATGGTGAGTTCTGAAATGGTGTTGTGTTCTATCTCAAATGTCGATTTTGTGTTCCAAATTTGACAATTTAGATTTTAATTTCTCTCCAGGTATACATTAAGGCAACTGGGGATCAAAGTGCAGAGATGGTCACTGACGAAGGGGCTATCTATGTTACGTCGAATAGGGGCTATAACTGGAGGGCTGCAGTTCAGGAGACTGTTTCAGCTACACTGAATAGGTAGGTGGATTTCTGATATGGCTTGCCCCAAGTTAAGCTACTGCAGTAAAGACTGCTGTGGGAGAACTGTTCAACTTAGTAATGGCGAAGATGTTCATGCGGCTTTTATTCTTTTGCAGAACAGTTTCTAGTGGTATTAGTGGTGCAAGTTATTACACAGGAAGCTTCAATACTGTTAACCGGTCTCCGGATGGGAGATATGTTGCTGTCTCCAGCCGGGGCAACTTCTATATGACATGGGAGCCTGGTCAGGTGACAGCTTTTTCCTCACTCATAGTTTTGCTGTCGATCTCAAGATTAGACTAGGGAACTTTTTTCCTTCCTACATTTGATTTGGTTTCTTGGGAAGTAGGGAAATCAATCAATCATCATCTTAAATAAATTCGGTTCGGGTTTCGCCTTAATTGGGTGCAGGCATTCTGGCAGCCACATAATAGAGCAGTGGCAAGAAGGATTCAGAACATGGGTTGGAGAGCTGATGGGGGTCTTTGGCTTCTCGTTCGTGGAGGAGGACTTTATCTCAGCAAGGGAACTGGGGTAAGTGAAAAGGAATTGACTCATCAAATTCTCATATAGTTTTAAGTTTTGTGATATATGTTCTTGGTTTATGACTGATGTGTTTTTGTTGAATGCTACCCACCCTTATCCTTCATTTTCCCCACTTCCCATTTCGTTCCTGATCTGGTCATTTCTGGCTCTTCTTGATGCACAAGTTTGTTATTTGTTATTACCAGATAACAGAGGATTTTGAGGAAATCCCTGTTCAAAGTCGTGGTTTTGGCATTCTTGATGTTGGCTACCGCTCTCAGGTTAGTGTATTTTCGAGATTTTCAGGCTTTCATGTTTCAGTAGTGAATAACAAAGCCATGCTCTATGACACTTTTCTTCTTCCAGAACTGCTGTAGGATTTTCAGTATGCAAAATGCAATAAAAATGAGAGCTGCTAAGCTTTGATCTCCCTTTTGGAATTTCACCGCTGTGTTTATCGATTATGAATGTTTTCTCCACGCAGGAAGAGGCTTGGGCAGCAGGAGGCAGTGGAGTTTTGTTGAGAACCACCAATGGAGGCAAGTCATGGATTCGAGACAAGGCAGCCGACAATATTGCTGCAAATCTTTACTCCGTGAGGTGAGTACAACCTTATGAATTACTGTGGGGTATTAATTAATATCATCCATCTCTTCTAGTGTTGAGCAACTCATAATGCTTGCTTGCATGGCAGATTTATGGAGGGAAATCAAGGGTTCGTTCTAGGAAATGATGGAGTCTTGCTACGGTATCTCGGTTAATGTGCTCCATGTATTGAGGTAATTCATAACATCTTTTTACTTTCTGCTCCACAAGAGGAGTTTATTATTGTCCAGCAATAAATGAGCTACAATGCAGTTTTGGGTGCTCTCAGGCGCTACAATACCTCTGTAGAGATGGCAAAGCTGCGTATATGATAAAGAGGGAGGATTTTGTGTATATCTATAATGTATTATTAATGTTCTTTTTGGTCCTCTACAAAACCGGATTCTTATCCGAAAGGGAATCCATGGAAATGGGTTGAGACTGTGGAACAAAGAACATCAAGCAAGGTTGATGTCAAAATGAGATTTGTGTATAATCAAAAGTTTACCTGAGAAGCTTGGAACCAGTCAATGCTAAAACTGTTACTAATTATGTCTCTTAGTTACATTCCAGCTTTCACCAGTTTGTCTCTGACTGCTGCTAGCTTAGTTGCAGCATCACTTATGCTCATTCTTTCTCTTGGCACTTCATTTGAACATTCAACCCCAACTTGTATTATCAAAACCATTGCCTCCATCAATACCTTCTGCTTTTCCTTTTTGCTATGATCGTTGCTTGATCTGCTGCTGTTGTCCTCTTCTCTTCCTGGAACAACAATGAGACCAATGATATCTGCTGCATTATCACCCAAAGCTGCTGCAAAGTTATGGAGATTCAACCCATCTCTGAACGTTTCATCGGTAGGCCTTCTCCCTAAGAACATCTCCAGCAACAGAATACCGTAGCTGTACACATCTCCACTGGTCGATACATCACTCCCCATCCCGTACTCTGCAAGTTTCCATAATTCCAGATCAAGCAGGTGGTAAACAAGTACAAGATGAGAAAAAAGCGAAAAGAAGCAAAAGCTTTTTTACCTGGTGCACTATAACCAACTGTTCCTCTAACACCAACTGAAGAGCTTGTTGCTGGGCTGCTGAGCGCCACTTGTGGGAGAAACTTTGCTAACCCAAAGTCACAAATATGTCCCACCATATTGACATCCAGCAAGATATTGCTAGGCTTGAGATCACAGTGAACCACAGGTACTCCACTATCATTATGAAGATAATCCAGTGCAGTGCCAACATCAATCGCTATGTTCAACCTTTGGAGGACACTTAACTCCTCCCTTCTTCCTGTTTCATGTTCTTCAAGTAGCCCGGGATGAAGCCATTCCTCCAAGCTCCCATTTACCATGAACTCATACACCAGGGCCTTGAAATCATTACCCTGGAAGTCGATTCCTGAACACACGGTCAGTAACTTCACAAGATTCCTGTGCCTGATGTTCTTCAACACTTCGCATTCTGCTACAAAGCTCTTAAATGCTCTGGCATGCTGCAGGTTCAGCACCTTGACGGCAACAAACATCTTGTTGTTGTCATCTATGGCTATAAGCCCCTTGTACACAGAGCCATAGCTGCCTGCTCCGAGCAAATTAGCAGACGAAAATTCATCAGTTGCTTGGAGTAGATTATGATATGTAGTCCCCAGAAGTGTGTTCCCAGTAAAGGGCGAAGCTGCTTCAGGGTCTTTGGTTTTCTTCCTCAGGAACCGAAAGTACAAGAATGAAAGAAGTGCAATGAGCCCTAAGAGACAACTTACAACCGAGATTATGATCTTCACTATTGTGCTGAGACCGCCTTTCCTGGAACTCTCCACGGAGCACTTTGGTAATCCAAACTCAGGCATTCCCCCACAGAGCTCATTATTCCCCATGACCAAAGCTTTAGTTGCATTCCTGAAAACTCCCTGCGTCGACAGAGGACCTTGGAAATGGTTGTAGGACAAGTTGAGGGTCACCAACGAGGTGAACTCCTGGAGAAAGTCTGGTACTTCTCCTGACAAGTTGTTGCGAGAAAGGTCCAGAATTTCCAAACCTTTGAGCTCCCTAAGAGATGAAGGGACAGGGCCCTGAAGCAAGTTCCCCATCAGGTTCAGGGTCTCCAATCTCACACACTTCCCCAAATTGGACGGGATTGAACCTGACAGCATGTTATTGCTGAGATCGAGTTCGCCCAAGTTGACCAAGTTCCCAACTTCATCAGGAATCCGGCCACTCAACCTGTTCCAGGAGAGGTTGAAAACCAAACCCAAGGCCGGGAGGTTGAGAATCTCCACCGGAATCTCACCGCTGAGTTCGTTCTCCCCGAGACTCAGCGCCGACAAATCCTGACATTTCCCGAAGCTCGGAGGAATCTCGCCTTCCAGGTGATTCCCTTCCAGCCAAACATGGAGCAATTTGGTCCCGTTGCCAATATTGGAAGGAATTTTTCCTGTCAAGTTATTGTTCTGAATCTGAAGTGTCATCAACTTGGGTAGCATCCCCAATTCAACAGGAATTTCGCCGGAGAGATTGTTGTCGTTGAAATCCAGCTGCTCCAAGTTGATAAACTTATCAAGTCCCGGCGGAATTGTTCCTGTAATCCCCGGGGTTAGCATTAGCGCCAGCCTGATGAAAGTCGTTGAGTAATTGCTTATGCTGTGAGGCAACTTCCCGTAGAAATTGTTCATCCCGACGTTGACCACTTCCAGAAACGAGCTGTTTGTTAGAGAATCAAGGAAGAGAAGATCGTCCACGCCATCTTTACCTCCATGTCCTAAGCTGTTGTTCATCATTCCCAGGAATTGAATCCGGTTCAGTTTCGCCAGAGAAGGAACTCCGCCATGGAAATTGTTGTGACCAAGGTCGAAAATTTGCAGGTTTGTTGCGTTGGACAACGAGTCAGGAATTCGGCCGGTGAAATTATTGAGAACCAAATTCAGATGGAACAGATTCGGCAGAGTAAATCCTAATTCTGGCGGGAGGGTTCCGGTGAGTTTATTGTCCATGACGCTGATCGCCTGAATTGAAGACGAATTGAAGAACTGAAGCGGGAACGGACCGGAAAATCGGTTCGCCCCGAAAGAAACGATTCTTAGGCTTCTCGACCAGGCCAGAGACTCTGGAATCCCACCGAAGAACTCATTCCTAGGCGCGGAGATCGCCTGGAGGGAAGACAAGTTGCCGAAACAGGGAGGAAATTTTCCGGTGAGGTTATTGAAATGGATTGAAAGCAGCTGGAGGTTCATGAGATTGCAGAGCTCGATTGGGATTTCTCCGGTCAAGCCGTTGTAACCGACTCGCAACATGGTGAGATTCGAGCAGGCGGAGAGGTTTGCAGGGATCGTGCCGGAGATGGAGTTTTGGGCCAGGACGAGATCCTGGAGGCGGCGGAGGCGGCCGATCTCCGGCGGGATCTCGCCGGAGATGGTGTTGTTGTTGAGGACGAGGTGGGTTAGGAAGCTCAAGTTGCCAACGTGTGGGGAGATTGAACCGCTGAGTTGGTTTAACTCGAGGTTGAGTTGGGTCACTCTCTGCTCTGTCTCGTTGTTGCAGGTTACTCCCTGCCATTGGCAGAAATGGAGGGTTTGGTTCCATGAGCTCAGAGCTCCCAGTGGGTCTATTAGTGCTGACTTGAGTTGGAGAAGTGCTAGTCTGTCCGTTTCGTTGCCGCCGGCAGCGGTCGCCGGTTGAATATGGATCTGGGAGAGTGAGAGTAGAAGAAGGAGAAGGGCAGGAAGTGGGACAGAGGAAATGTGAACCAAGGTGGGCATTTTTCTTTTCTTTAAGAGGTTTGTTGTGTGCAGAATGATTAAATACACTAGCGAGATGAACAAACACACGTGGGAAGCCGATCTCTTATGGTTATGAAATTATGATCACTGGACTAGGAGGATGAACAAATTCAATGGGGAAGAGAAGTTAGGGAATGATTTACTTAATCCGCAGAGAGGCGCCGAAATTCTAACCCAGTTGAAGCCCTGCTGGCGTCCGTATTGGCGTGCTGTGAAACACTGAAACTCCTTGCAGGTTGAACTATGGGAACAGAGTGACCATTACTACATTGAAGGGTTGACGAAAGGGGGCTCTTGAATTCGTTGAATGTCAAATACCATGAGCAGAGGAATCGATTCCCAGCTTATAGATGCATATCTTAACTTTGTTTATATATATGCAAGTGGGTTGTTGGTTGGTTTGGTACTTGCCTAATATTTTATGTTAATGTATTCACTATTCAACACAAACTGTAAAACTGCGGATTTCCATTCCTTTCCAGATTAGGGCGGGTTTCCTTTCACACTCATTTCCCCTTTTTTACCATTTCTTGATTACGTTTGTCTGCCTTCTCTTCTGTCTTTTTGCAAGTCAATGAACTGGAGAAAGACCGTCGGCAATGATTGAACTGGGAAGGACGCGGCGGGGATGATGATGATGATGATGGATTAGCCCTCTGTTCTTTCTCATTGTTGCAGATTAGGCCCTGCCATTGGCAGAAGTGGAGGGTTTGGTTCCATGAGCTCAGAGCTCCCATTGGGTCTATCAGTGTTGATTTGAGTTGGAGAAGTGCTCCTCCGTCGGTTTCGTTGCTGCCCGCTGTTATATGTCTGCGAGAGGAGGAAATGTCAACCAAGGTGGGCATATTTTTGCTTCTTTTAGTTGGTGATTACTGGTTTGCAAGTGTGTACAAGGGTTAAAGAATCAATCTTTCGTTTCTAGCCCTTTATCACAACTAAGTCCTGTCTTGGGCGAAATTATGGTCTCGGTTATAATAAAGAATCAATCTTTTTCTGTAGTGGAAGAAAAGAATCAAGATTTGTTAATCATTAGATTGGGGGTAAGGAAGAAAGTCAATGGCCTAAGAGAAGTTGAATGAGAACTGTAGGGAAAGGAAGAAAACAAGTGGGCAGAGGTTTCGGATTTGCGCAGATGTGATCATAGACAGCGAAGAAGATATTCGACAGCGAAAGAAAGGGGCCTGCCAATAAGATAAGGGTAATGCTTCACCCACTCTGTTTCGGAATCACTATTGCAAGTTGGTGGCGGCGCCATTTCTTTGACTTCTCATTCAGTTAGGGAGAAGTTGACTTGATACAGCAAAGGTTGGATTCGATGATGCTGCCGAGAAACAATTGTTCAGTTGCCCTCATCAGATTACTTGTACAATATCATATACATTCAGATACATCAAAAGTAGCAACGAAATGCTATTGTCCTATTATTGTGACCACTTTTCTGGGCATAATTATGTCTCTTCACTACATTCTAGCTTTAACAAGTTTGTCCCTCACTGCTGTTAGCTTAGTTGCAGCATCACTGATGCTCATTCGTTCTCTTGGCATTTCATTTGAACATTCAACCCCAACTTGTATAATCGAAACCACTGCCTCCGTCGACACCTTCTGCGTTTCATTCTTGCTATGATCGTCGCTCGATCTACTGCTGCTGCTGTCGTCTTGTCTCTCCAGAAGCACAGTGGGATCTACGATCTCTGTTGCTTTATCAGCCAAAGCTGCTGCTGAAAAGTTATGGAGATTCAACCCATCTTTGAACGCTTCATCGGTAGGCCTTCTCCCTGTGAACATCTCCAGCAACAGAATGCCATAGCTGTACACATCTCCGTGGGTAGAAACTTCACTCCCCATTCCGTACTCTGCAAGTTTCGCCAAATACAGATAAAGCAAATGGCAGAGAAAAAGATGATGGCACGAAGGAAATGAAAGGCGAAAGAAAGCTTTTTACCTGGCGCGCTATAGCCAACTGTTCCTCTAACACCAATCGAAGAACTCGTCATACTATTTGCTGGAGTGTTGAGCTCTACTTGTGGAAGGAACTTTGCTAACCCAAAGTCTCCAATATGTCCCACCATATTGACATCCAGCAGGATGTTGCTAGGTTTGAGATCACAATGAACTACCGGTACTCCACTCTCGTTATGAAGATAATCCAGTGCGGTTCCTACATCAATGGCTATGTTCAACCTTTGGAGGAGACTCAACTCTACCTTTGTTTTTCCTGTTGCTTGTTCATCAGGAAGCCTGGGATGAAGCCATTCCTCCAAGCTCCCGTTAACCATGAAGTCATACACCAGGGCCTTGAAATCATTACCCTGGAAGTCTATTCCTGAACACACAGTCAGCAACTTGACAAGATTCCTGTGCCTGATGTTCTTCAACACCTCGCATTCTGCTACAAAGCTCTTGACCGCTCTGGAATGCTGAAGATTCAACACCTTGACGGCAACAAACATCTTGTTGTTGTCTTCTATGGCTATAATCCCCTTGTACACAGAGCCATAGCTGCCTGCTCCGAGCAAATTAGCAGACGAAAACCCATCGGTGGCATGGAGTAGATTATTATACGTAGGCCCCAGAAGTGTGTTACCGGTAAAGAGTGAAGCTGCTTCAGGGTCTTTGGTTTTCTTCCTCAGGAACCAAAAGTAGAGGAATGAAAGAAGGGCAGCGAGTCCTAATAGACAGCTTACAACCGAGATTATGATCTTCACTACCGTGCTGAGACCGCCTTTCTTTGAACTCTCCACGGAGCACTTTGGTAATCCAAACTCCGGCATTCCCCCACAGAGCTCATTGTTTCCCATGACCAAAGTTGTAGTTGAATTCCCGAAGACACCCTGCATTGACAGTGCACCTTGGAAGTTGTTGTAGGACAAGTTGAGTGTGACCAACGATGTAAACTCCTGAAGAAAGTCGGGTAACGTTCCTGACAAGTTATTGCGAGAAAGGTCGAGAACTTCTAACCCTCTGAGTGCCCTAAAAGACGAAGGGATAGAGCCCTGAAACAAATTCCCCGTCAGATTTATGGTCTCCAGTCTCACACATCCCCCTATACTCGACGGGATCGAACCTGACAGCATGTTATTGCTGAGATCCAGTTGACCCAAGTTGACCAAGTTCCCAACTTCCTCAGGAATCCGGCCACTCAACCTGTTCCCAGAAAGATCAAGGACAAAACTCAATTCCTGGAGATCGAGAATCTCCGGTGGAATCCCCCCACTGAGATTGTTATCTGCTAGATTCAGCAGCGTCATATCCTTACTCTGACCGAAACTCGAAGGAATCTCACCTTCCAGTTGATTCCCTTGCAGCCACACCGTGAGCAACTTGGTTGAATTTCCGATATTGGAAGGAATGGTTCCCGACAGGTTGTTGTTCTGAACCTGAAGAGTCATGAACTTGGGGATCCTCCCCAATTCAACCGGGAGATTGCCGGAGAGACTGTTTCCGTTGAAATCCAGCTGCTCCAAGTTGACCAGCCGGTCGAGCCCCGCCGGAATGGTTCCGGTGATCATCGGGGTCAGACGCAGAGACAGCCTGACGAAAGTTGCGGAGTAGTTGCTTATGCTGTGCGGCAACACGCCGGAGAAATTGTTCATCCCGACGTTGACCACTTGGAGCATCGTGCTGTTGGTCAACGTATGGAGGAAGAACAGATCGTCTCCTTCTCCTCCACTGCCCAAGTTGTTGCTAATCAGTCCCAGGAGTTGGATCCGGTTCAGCTTCGCCAATGAAGGCACTCCGCCGTGGAAATTGTTGTAACCCAACTCCAAAACCTGCAGGTTTGTCGCGTTGGAGATCGATTCGGGAATTCGACCGGTGAAATTGTTGTAAGCCACATTGAGATGGACCAGATTCGGCAGAGTAAACCCTAACCCTAGAGGTAGGGCACCGGTGAGCTGATTTTCAATGATGCTAATGATTTGAATGGAAGAGGAGTTGAAGAATTGAAGTGGGAATTGACCAGAAAATCGATTCGCCCCGAAAGAAATTACGTTCAGGTTGCTCAATCTGGCCAGAGACTCCGGAATCCCGCCGACGAATTGGTTCCGAGCCGCAGAGATCGCCTGGAGGGAAGACACGTTGCCGAAGCAGGAGGGGAAATTTCCGGTGAAGTTGTTGAAATGGATTGAGAGCAGCTGGAGGTTCATGAGATTGCAGAGCTGTGTCGGGATCTCGCCGGACAAGCCGTTGTTGCCGACTCGCAACATGGTGAGATTGGAGCAGGCGGAGAGGTTCGGCGGGATGGTGCCGGAGATTGAGTTTTGGACTAGCACGAGCTGCTGGAGGCGGGTGAGGCGGCCGATTTCCGGCGGGATTTCGCCGGAGATGGTGTTGTTGTTGAGGATGAGGTGGGTTAGGAAGGACAAGTTGCCGATATGTGGGGAGATGGAGCCGCTGAGCCGGTTTAGCTTGAGGTCGATTTGGGTCACCCTCTGTTCGGTTTCGTTGTTGCAGGTTACTCCCTGCCATTGGCAGAAATGGAGGGTTTGGTTCCATGAGCTCAGAGCTCCAAGTGGGTCTATCAGTGTGGATTTGAGTTGGAGAAGTGACAGTATATCGGTTTCGTTGCCGCCGGCGCTGGTCGCCGGTAGGATGTGGGTCTGTGAGAGTAGAAAGAGGAGAAGGGCAAGAAGAGGGGCAGAGGAAATGTCGACCATGTTTGTTAATCGTTTAGAGGTTTGTTGTGTGCAGAACATATGTGGGAAGCTTATCTTAAATGGATTGGGAGGAAGGAATTCATGGGGAAGAGAAGTTAGGAGACTGGAAAGAGAGAAAGCAAGTGGGCAGAGGTTTCCAAATTGGGTTGATCTGGTAACCGGAACTCGGAACAAATTGGAACTGGCATGGTATAGCTGCTGAAACCGGTATTGGCGTGCTGTGAAACTCGTTTGCAGGGTTGAATTATGGGAATAGAGCAGCCATTACTATATTGAAGAGTTGACGAGGTGGAATCTTGAATACATTGAATTTCAAATACCACGAGCTGAGGATTCGGTTCCCAGCTTACAGATGCATATATAAAATAGTTCATTGTTGATATATGTACATGTAAGCGTATCTCACTATTCAACACAAACTGCGGGTTTCCATTCCCTTTCCAAATTAGGGTGGGTTTCCCTTTCACATTCCTTTCCCCACTTTTGTTGTTATGTACTTTTAAGAAAAAATTATTGATTGATTCTGCCGTGTTTTTGCAAGTCAATGGAGAAGACCGTCGGCGATGGTTGAACTGCGAACGACGCGGTGGTTATTTCCCCATTGTTTGTTTATATTTATTGGGCTGGGCCCAGGGTCAATTGACGGGGAAGATAGTCATATGGATCCTATGACAACACTGGGCCTTCCACACCAGCCAGCATCAAGCCCAATTTAACCGGGCTTTGGATGGCCTCGCGCTCGCCCCATTTTGCTGTGCGTGTACTGGCAATGGGCAGGTCCGGGGTGGGTTTCTCAGTACCCAGACCTGTCGAATGTCAGGTCGGGTTCAGGTCGGGTAATTTATCACGGGTCATTGGTCGGAGCAGGTCGACCCAATGAGTATGCAATTTGTATGAAAAACATTAGAAATATTCGTTATTTTTATTGTAAGACCAAAAAAACAAACAATATTATGATAAATATAGTTAAATTATTGGAGAAATTGAGGTTTTCACTAATTTATAACTTTATTATAGCTAAAAATTGAGGTAATAAAAGGAAAATCCTGAGTAATTTGACTAAAATTACATGTAATTTAGGCAAGAACGGGTCGAGAATGGGGCGGGTCAGGGCAGGTCGGGTCGATGAGAGTACCCATGCCCGCCCCGCCCCGACCCGACCCAAAATAGGTCAAACAGGTCGGGTAAAACGGGTGAGGTCGAAATTGCCATTCCTACGTGTACCAGATGGTTTGAGCCATTGTTGGACTTCGAATTTATTTGTTTTATTTTGTTGGGTATTTTCGTAATAAAGTAGTATAATTATTGGCTCGTTGTAATCTACATCGGTTATCTCATGTGTAAAATATGTTCAATTTTATTTCTCGAATACGATTTAGCTCGAATAATTGATCTTTGTATCTTGGTTAGGTAAGGCTCTGGGGCTTCAGGTTTAGTCTAGGGTGGATTTACACTTGCTGAAATAGACATTTCCAAATTGCAATCCAATCCAACCACCACATGCATTTCTTCTTGCTTCCCCGTTGCTATTTATTGGTGTTGTACTCTGGCACCGACTTATGTGGGTTTATCTCATGTAACATCGATTTGAGGAGGACCTTTCCTTCCTCCCCTTTCTTGTTTAAAGTTTCTCTCTCAACCGGTCAACTTCTGTAAACCAAATAATAAAAAACCTTAATGATCCAATGGCTGGATTTCCTGTTTGAAATAAAGCGTATTAAATAGATCGAACTTGAAGTATCAATAACATTTTGATAATAGAATGGTGAATTACAAATTCGATAGCATGATGATTAGCCTACTAAAAATGTGTAATTGTGGATCATCATCCTGCTGGTGAGAATGCGATTGCGAAGGAATTGTGGATAAAAAAAGCCTTTACCTTCTTGGAGTAGGACTAGACATCAAATTTCTCATTTAATTGTTAATTGTTATAGAAAGGGTTTTGGTGAGTAGAAATAAAGAAGAGCAAATGAGACACGAATTGAAGAGGAAGCATAGAAGCGTGACAAATCAATTATGATTGGTCGATTTTTCCACTGTTTATAATCACATCTGATTTGTTTACAATTAGAAAATAACTAAAGTAAAACCATTGGTCCGCTCGTGGAAAATTTCACCGCTTCCAAGAGAGCTTCGGTCGCCATAGGTGCACAACTGCGAATTCTCCCAGCCTTACCATCATAAACCTTCCCACTCGCATCTTTAATCACAATGTCGATACATGCATGTTGGGTATCTCTTCGAAAAGCATCATCAAACAAGATTGTCTTCTCGTAAATCTCCGACGCTAGAACTAGGTTCTGAAGGTTATATCCCTAGGTTGAGGTGGGGGGACATGAGCAGCTTCACTCGCCACTTGCAAGCCTCAAACTCTTTGATGGCACAAAGCAGAATGTTATTTAATCATCGAAGCATTATCAAATATCTTCCCACTAGCGTGGTCCCGGCCATTTGGCCGAAGGAAGATGATGTATGAAATTTGATAATATAATGGGTTGTATAGTTTATTGTTGTATAGTTTTTTTGGAAAACACGTGATAAAAATAGTGAATTCTAGTAGGAAAGAGACATGAATGATGCAACGAATCAAAAATCAGCCTTATGAACCAAAATCAAGTACCTGTTACCTTATGAAACAATAATGTTATGGTAATATGATGAGGTGGAGTAAGTTTTATAGAAACCGAATTCCATAAAATCGAATAAAAAATCGCATATCCCACCGATTTTCGCGAAATTCGCATCTCACAATCGTTGCTAGCTTTTACTCGGCCCGTTGGCCGATTAATTTGCTTTATAAAACTTTCATCTTGTCATCATTGTGCTTTCTGGTTTTTTGCCAAGCTATGATAAAATCTAAAGAAATCAAGAATGAACAACACGATTTGGGATAGGAACCACTGTTCCTGTATCCCTAGAAAATGGTGGTAAACACGGACTCACCTGCCAAACTGGTTTGGATTGAGATTTTTATCGGGTATCAGGGAACCATGTGATTATAAATTAGACTTGATCAAAACGGGCCGAAACTTGAAATTCAGCATGTTTGACCGACCCATGCCAAACTCTAATTATTCTTTACTTTTAAACTTTCTATTTGAAAATAAAAAAAATAATGAAAGAAGAGATGACTGCAATTCGCCATTTGCACATGGAATGGGTTAGGATGATTACTTGTTTTTTAGTAATCATGGTGGCAACCACTTTATATACCATTTGATTAATTATTTTTCCTTCTTTTTTAATCTTACGGTCAAGATACTTTTAGGGTAATTTTGGAAATTAAAAAGTGACCACACCTGATTATTTTATATAATCTACCTAAACCCTAGTTCTATCCTCCCTCCAGCCAAACCCGTCGCAGCCGCCGTACCACTTGACGATTGAAATGGCTCACAAGAAGGGAGCCGGAAGCACCAAGAACGGCCGTGACTCTCCCGGCCAGCGCCTCGGTGTCAAAATCTTCGGAGACCAGCTCGCCAAGCCCGGAGCTATCATCATCCGCCAGCGCGGGACCAAGGTTCGACTTTCAACTGGCATTGCAAGTTTTTTAGCTAGGCAATTTTATATGGACGATCCTGAATTATTGGGATTTGAAATTGGTTCCAGTTCGGGTGAATTCGAGTTTAGTACTTTGAATATAAATTTCATACCTTTTCATACAACTGAACTCCTCATGAGCCTTGAGGTTTCGTGTCGTATTAGATGTTTTCACGATCTGGGAGCAATTATGTCAATGTGCAGTGGTATTGGTTACTATATGCAATGGTATAGATTGTTTATATTGGTAGTTTTCAAGTAATAGTATAGATTTATTTCTGCAATGGTATTGATTGTTTATGATATAGATTGTTTATATTGGTATTTTTCGTGTAATGGTATAGATTTATTTCTACAATGGTATTGATTGTTTATGGTATAGATTGTTTATATTGGTAGTTTTCGTGTAATGGTATAGATTTATTTCTGCAATGGTAGTTTTCGTGTAATGGTATAGTTTTATTTCTGCAATGGTATTGATGTTTTTCAAAGTGGTAGTGTTTGTCTAATGGATTGGTACTGATTTCGTGTTTTTTTTTTTTGCAGAAATATTGAGAAAAATATGGAAAGAAAATCTGGCTGGAGATTACGGAAGTGAGAGAAAGAGAGAATTTTAATTAATAGATTTTTGTAACTACCTAAAATGTAATTTATTAAAAAAATTAATTAATATAATTTATTTTTTCATACCCAATTTACCCTTAATAACCACGGTGATTACTACTTTTGTAGTAATCACCGTAACCTGTCCCATTTGCACATCACTGATTCGGGAATAAAACTATAGAATTTCGAAAGGAAACTGAAAATATTTAGGATCGTTTTAATGTTAAAAATAACCAAATAGATCTTTCTGTTTAGTTTTTTACTAACAAATACCAAACGATTCCCTATAATATACACTATGATTTAATCATTATGATATCAAATAATTACATAATATATATTTGAAATGATAAAAATTGGACTAATTGGGTTGGTCGATGTTGAACCATTGTATAACTTTAAAATACATTATATTTTAGCCACTAAGATATAAAATAATAGCATAATATATATTATGCTAGAGAAAATAGCTTGTTTTAGAGTGACAAACCCATGATGTTCATTTGTTTTACTTGATGAGCAAATCCCGTGTAGGTCAGGCCCATTCAACTCTTCTATTTTATGATTAGCGATTAGCTTATTAGAATCCATGCATTAGTTTATTGTTAATTTTTTTTCTTTTTAGCAATAAAAAGGAGTATTGTTTTTGTTTTTTCATATATATATTTTACCACCACGGAGAAATAAAAGGACTTAAAGAAAAAAATTGACACTCCTGGACCCGTTTAAATCCGCATGTGTACGGTAAGTTGGCCCGTTCCACAGAGGAAAAGGAAAAAAATTGACACTCCCTATTCTACCCTTCCTACAAACGCTCATGGAGCAGGGAATTTGAAATGGGGGAAGAGTTTTTTCCTCTCTGCGATTATATGTTTTTAATTTAAAAAGATACAACAAATGTACTTAGTGTGATTGGTTATGGTCTTTGCTTTTCTTTAAAGTGGTCATGGTTCGAATCCTAGTAAGTGTCTTTTTAATGAATAAAAAAAAGTAATTGTGAAGACCAAAATGTCCTTCCTACTTTCACTCTGGATGCAGGAAATTTAAAATGGGGCTTCAAGTTTTCTCATTTGGCTTTTATTTATTGTGTAGATTACTTGCTTTTCAATTTGTCACCCACAAAATGACAACCGACTAACTCTTAGAGAAGAACGAGTTAGACCAATAATATATAATCATATCAGAAAAGGAGACACCACGTTGAGGTAGAGAAATTTCAAGTTCGATCTCTCCCCATGATGTTCAATGGGTTTTACAACGAAACGACATTTTTATTCAGGATTTGGAGCACATTTTCTAGAAATATAGTTTAGTCGTTGCGAGAAGAGCATTAATTGCACACTTCTAGAGAGACCATTTCAATTTTGAAGATAGGCACAAACTCCACATCCATTTTTAATCCTTATCCTCGTGTGGATTCTAATCAACCCCAGAAGATAGACTCGAGAAGATAGAAAAGAATGAAGTTTGTGATAACAAGACTTGACAGAAAAACATATCTTTTCTATCGAAGTTCCAAACTCATCTGTCACAAAATCCCTCCGCCTCAATCGGGATATTCCGGATCACTTCAAAAACATGTCAAGCGAAGGAGATCGGCTTTGAGATATCCCATCTTCCTTCAGGTCGCCAAATGAAATCAACAACTTTGATCAGCGAACGTGTTTTCTCCGAAAATCCTCACCATCCCCCACCCCCAGTTAGAGGTGGCAATTGGATCGGATTCGTGGATTGGTGGATCCATGGATCAAATGGATTGGATCCAATGGATTGGTGGATTCATGGATTTGATCAAATGGATTGGTGGATTGATCCATGAATCCAAAAGACATCCAAGGTTTGGACCAAAATGTAAAATTTGAAAAGTTTTGGTACTAAAATGTCATAATGAAAATTTTTAGCTACCAAAATGTAATTTTCCAATGATATTTTTTGTATAAAAATGTAAATTTTAGGTACCAAAATATAAAATATAAAAAATATAGGTACCAAATTGTAATTTGTCATTTGGATCCATGGATTGATCCATGAATCCACCAATTCAATTGGATTTGGATCAAATGGATTGGATTTAAATGGATTGGAATAGGTAGATAATTTGGTGGATGAATTGGATTGGATTCATGAATTTAGATTCTAATTGCCACCTCTACCTAGTACATTTTCTAAGTCCCAAGAGAAGGGCTTCCATCCCCATTTTGTGTCTTCACTGTTTCTACTACTAGCCTGACTGGTCAGTCCGGTTCGGCTGTCATGGCAAGGGAAAAGTAGGGGTGTACATGGGTCGGGTGGTTCGGGTTTAGTCATTTTAATCATCCGATCCATGCACTATGGTTTGGGAAATATCAAACCCAAACCCACCCAAAAATATTTAAACCCTACGGTTTGTTTCTAATTGGGTTGGGTCGGGTTGGCGATATTTTTAAATAAAAACCCAACCCAACATAAAATATATAATTATTCTACATCATAAAAATATTTTATAACTAATTAAAATTTCAAACGAATGAACCAAGGTGAAAGGTATGAAAATTCATAAATGTTGTTTAAATTTTAATAAAATGTAATTTACTTCAACATATGTCTTGTTTTTTCACGATATTTGTTGAAATAGGCTAAAAATGTTATAAACAAACACATCCATCATATGTTATTCTATTAAAATTGTACACAAGAAAAAGGATTACGTGAATCATAACTATATTCAATTTATGTCTAAACTTTAAGTCGAAGAATGCATTAGATTAGGGAGACCATGAGAGAAAAACATGGTGAAATATTTTAATTTTCTCATAAGTATATGACTATATAGTACATAAATATTTTTTAGATTCGAACTCATACTAATAGTTGGAACACGGGTTGGGTCGGGTTCTACGGGTTGTGTAATCCAAAATCCAAACCCAACCCAAAAGAGGCGGGTTATACAAAAGAAAACCTTCACCCAACCCAAAACCTTCGTTTTAGCGATAAATACGGGTGGGTTGGATCGGGTTGGACGGGTGGGTCGGTTTCCGGGTGTGTTTGTTCACCCTATGGAAAAGGCAGAGCATTTGCAACAATAACCAATAGATAAATGGGTTTGGGCCGGGCCGGAGATTGTGACCCAGCCGACACAATCCTTATACGAGTTGCAAGTTGCAACCCTCGTTGATTGACACGTATAAAGCGACACTTCGCTGGGAATTTACTCGTAATCCTGTATTTTTCCTTTTATTTTTAACGGAAATGAAAATTTCATTTTCTTAAGACATAATCATTTTATTTTTGGTGGATTGAAGGTTAATCAGTTAATCACTAATCAGGCTGTGCTTTGTGTCGTTCCTTTAATCTGGCTCCTTTGACTTGTAACTTTTATTAAACAGCAATTATTAAAATCCAATTTATATAATATAAATTACGCAATCTAACAAATGGCGTTATTTGAGGGCCTGGTGCAGCGAGAAGCAAAGAGTGAGAGAGGGATTTGTTTTCCTTTTCCCGGAAAATTTGGTTCGGGGAAGAAAGAAAATAAGGGGGAAAACCAGAGCAGATACTCTCTCCTCTCCTTTCTTCTTCCATCTCTCCCTTCCCCCACCCAATTTTCAATCTTCTTTCCGCTATTTGGTTCTGGATCCTCAGATTTCTGCATTCTTTCCTTCCCCTCCATCCCTCTTTGTTGTTTGTTTGGTTTGATTGAATGGTTTTCCTATTCCTTCCTTCTATTCAATTTGTCGTTATTCCTCTAATTTTCTCTCTCCCTCTTTCTGTTTGTTTCACGCGATTTTCTCCACCGACTTCCGGCTGTTGCATAATCGCGATTCCCGTGGTCGGTTTCGGGCCGATCTCTTGATTCGGAGGACTCCGCCGCTCGAATCCGCATTGCGACACCCCACTTGATCTGTCTCGTTTGTGGGCGAGTTGAGGGGAAATCTGGGTGCTCCCCAATTGGGATCACTTACCCGAGAAACCGAAGGGGAAAAAATCCGATATCTTCGTTTTCTTGGCTGTTATGGGTTGCTGAGTTTCGGATAAAAAAGGGTTCTTTTTGGTTTTGTTGTTTGGTGTTCATAGTTGGGGAGGGGTTTTCTGTGTGTCTCTTTATGTTGGATTGGGGACGCAGCAGATGGAGAGGGAGGGTACGAAGGAAATCATGATGAGTAATTGTAATCATAGATACAGTCAGTTTAGCAATGATTATGATAGGCAGCTGCAGAACGCTGATGATGATTTAGGAGGATTCGATAATTACAGTCACAATTTTTTCAACAATGCAAATGGTTCTACTACTCCATTCAAGCCTTCCAGCGGCGGGGGCACCTCCACCAACTCCTCGCCGACGACGTCGCCTGTCTCCCGTGGTTTCATTGAGCATCCGGTTTCAAAGTTCGATACCCTCGCCGGCGTTGCCATCAAGTATGGCGTTGAGGTAAATGTTATTTCCCCTCCTGGACTCGTGTGATTCCCCAGCTGGTGTTGTATTTTATTCTGTTTGGGTGGGTAAAAGCTTTTGATTGGAGTTCCCTTTTATTTGGCATCCCGAACGTGACAATGAGTGGATAATGCAATGATTGTCTCCTTCCCTGGCATTGGTAGAAGGTGTTGTTGATTCTGAATGGAAATCATTTAGTTTGTAATGCCAGTTGTTGTGGACTGCTTTTTGTCTGGCTTGCCTTTTCCTTCCTTTCTCTTTCTCTTCCCCTTTGGTTTGTTCAATAGTCAATACAGGTTAAAAGGCTCAAAGGCATTGATTGTTAACTTATGTGTACGCTCATCTGGTTTTGTGGAATCTTAGGTGGCCGACATTAAAAAGAAGAATGGCCTGGTTACAGATCATCAAATGTTTGCCCTGAAAACACTCCGGATTCCTCTACCTGGGAGACACCCTCCATCCCCATGTTTATCAAGTGGTGCTGAGAACTCTGGGTATTCTTCATATTTACCTTTACTTTTTCTCCTCCTTGCTGATACTGCTCAGGTTCATTCATTGTGCTTCCACCTGATTGATAGAATCTAATCTCTATGAACCATAATGGAAAAGATAGAATCTAATCTCTATGAACCATAATGGAAGCCTAATATTACGTCTGGGTAATCATTGTTCAAGTGACCAATTCAAGAGTTTAAGTCAGCATTCTCGTGTCCAGATTCTTTTTCCTATCTTGCCATCGGGAAAGTGGTTTGTTCCAAGAACTTTTAAACAGTACTGAGCGTGCTGTTCGTATGAGTAGATTTTAGGGGTGGGTTTGAGCCTTGAATCTCTCTGCTGATGGGTTTGGTCAAAAAATTTGTTCGGTGGATTATGGCATGAAGATCTTTGCAAATATATTATGTATGTGAACAGATGCAGCACTACAACTTATAGTAGCAGAGTTTCAGTAGGTTATTTTATGTGCATTATTCTGGAGGCCTGTGATGTAATCAGTTTCTTGCTTACATGTGATGTAGACTGCATACTGCCACTTCACACCACTGTGATTCATATAACACTGGGAAGTTTTTTTTTACAGGGGGAGCAACTTGGACCACACGCCACTCGAGCGTGGATACACGGATCTCCTCGATTCATTTCAAACCCTGAGGCCAAAGTCTTCTTCTGGACGAAAGGCCTCTCCTGCAATGACGTCTTTACATGGTTACTATGGTCTTCCTTCTCCTGCTGATCTCAGAGTCTCTCCAGACACCAACCCTCCTTTAACCCATCACCGGAAATCCAGGAGCTATGTCAATGTTTTACTTGATGAGAGCAATGCTGCAGATGGTGACTCCATGGTAAGAAGACGGCAGAAATCGGAAGCTGACTTCCCAAACATGCTGATGAGGGAAGAGAACAGCAATGGTAGCGCTTCAGTATCAGCAGGAAAAGCTGGAGGTAAAGGGTTAGCATTAAGAGCCAAATCAGCAAGCCGGAGTGCTTTGATAGCAGAACTCGAGGCAGCAGCAGCAGCAGGCAGTTTGAGCCCTAATAAACCAGCTGGTGCAGGAGGAGATCCTGCGGACATCGGTGACCTCGTTTCTGCAGTGAGGAAGTCGTCGAGCACTTCGAGCTTGAATGAGACAGATGGCAGTGGTGGTTCATTCACATGGCCGACTCCAAAATGGAGTCTGAAAGCAGATCTGCAGGCTTTGTCGGCTGCAGCCATAGCTAGGCCCATCTTCGATGGGTTGCCGAAGCCCTTGAGTGGGTGGAGAAACAAAGCAGCTGTTGACTAGGGTTAGCCATTATATACATGCTACTACTACTTTTGATGTTATTTGCTGGAGAAACGGATCCACAGTGTGGAAAATTATCCACTTTTTGAGGAGAGAGCCACGCCTAGCTGGCGAGCAATGGGATTGAATTGTATCGAGATATTTGAACTCTGAACATATAGCTAGATTATCAAAATAGGGAAAAGAAAGCAAAATTCGCAACTGTAATAACGTGTCATAGGATCATGTTTAGGGTCTTATTATTGGATATGAACAGAGGAGAGAATGGTTCGAGTTACATGTAATCTTTATATAATTTATCATTCCTTTACTTGATACTAATCTCTCTGATATGCTGAAGTCGTGATGTGGACTGTAATCTCGGATGTATTTGCAGGCGCATCAACTGGTGATAACAATGTGTTTGCAGAGGAAGCAACTCTGATCTCGTAGATTCATTCCATAACCTGAGGCCAAGATCCTCAGCCGGAAGATTGGTCTCATCCAGTCAACATTTAACTGGATGAGAACGATGGTTCAGAAAGCGACTACAGGTAAGAAGGCGGAATAAATCTGAAGCCGACATCCACCAACATGCTGATGAGGTGTGTCAGTGGCAGTAGGATTGGTTTGGCAACAGCTTGGAGCATTATAATTGCAGAACTTGAGCCCTAAACCAGACGGTTTAAGAGATCCAGGTGATACTGTGGACCTGGTTTCTGCAGCAGGTCATCGAGAGCTCGTTGAACAAGACAGATGCTAGAGCTAGTCCTAGTCCTAGTCCATTTGCAATGGCCGGGTCGAAAATACAGCCCAAAGGAAGACCTGTATGCACTATCAGGCGCAGCCATTGCCTGGCTATCGCTTCTTATGCGATCTATCTGAAAAACTGGTGTGGAAACTGCCCACTTTTTGATGAGAGAGCCAGCCAAGCCTGACCGGTAATGAATGAGATTGAGTTGTATCGAGAAATTTAAGCTCTGAATATATGGCTAGATGATCAGGACTGGAGACATTCGGTTCGAGTACATGTATGATTTGACTGTTTTTTTTACAAGATGTCTCATTTCTTCACTTGAACCCGTCATCGGATACACAACCAAGACTGATTAGCCCCCTTGTGTTACTGGCTCGTTACGACTCAAAATTTGCATTTTTGCCATACCTAGAGCTGGTTGGGTTGTTTCCCAGGTGACACATTTGACTGGCGGTAGTTCGGTGGAAAAATAAATCAAGAAACAAATAGCCATTTCCAGGCCTTTTTCTTTTGGGTCATCCATGTACATTTGGTATGAAGAGAATTCACATATACAAGAGGGAAAGGGTGGAATGAGAACCTGTAATACCAGAGAGTAATAATTTTCCAAAAATCCCAAGACTTCTCCTAGGCTATGCCTATGCTAATCTTAAAAATCTAACAGACGTAATCGCGACACCGAGGCTTTCGTCTCAAGTTCAGAAATCTACCGAAAGTGTTTACCTTTGCATTTCCTGGCTATCAGAAATCTCAACTCCATTTGATCTGCCCCGCTATCTCGGAGATAGCTCCCGACTGGGGCCGATTCCGGGCCTCTTGTGCTTACCCAAAATCTGCATTACCAGAAACTTCCAATTTGTGGGTTAACATATGCAACAAGTTAAATCTCAGTGATGGTTCAAAATTATTCAAGTTAGCTAACTCTCCAATTCCTGGAAATTTCAGTTTTCAGCAATGGAAGCATGTCTGGACAGGAAAACTCTCTCCTACATGCAATACCGGGCAGTAACATAATAGCAAAACTATCTCTGCATATGGGCAAAATTCAATACAAGTATAGGAGCCCTAAGCAAAATAAGGGAATAAGGAACCAATTGATATAGAAACTGTATATATGAAACAGCAGTTAGAAAATTGTGGGAAAGATATGCAGAATGCAGAGCAGAGTGTATTCAGAGAGTATCAAAACATAAACAAGAAAAACACAGCATGTTGCTCAGGCAGTCTTCAGATGCAATCCAGAAAATGGATGAACAACGCTTTTCAATGTTACACAACTAACATTGAGATAGCCTCTTGCATTATCTTCACAGGTGGAAGGAAAAGAAGAAAAAAGGTTGCAGGAGTAGGATACACAGTAATATCAAATGCACATCAAGGCTCAAGACCCAACACTACTGCAAACTACATAATCAGACAGATTACCAAAGACAACAATATCAGAAAAACATAACGCCAATTCTCCCTCGGTTCTTAATCTTGATTTCATAAGCAATCAAACAAACCTCTGTAGCACAAATGATAGCCCGAAATTCCTAACATCCTTTAGGGTGAAGGATCCCTATTGGAGGCAAGAAAGCAATCCACCCAGCTTCATCTTGCATTCTTTAACTGGGATCTTAAGAACAGTTGATAAGCTGTTAATGCTAGGAGTTTTTATTCTATTCTGATTTGGCCACAGAAAGAATGCATAAAGAAGGCCTAAATAGGCAGTGGGATTAACCTAATGTATAAAAGATACCAGGCTACATTTTTTAAGTCCAATCTAGAGGAAATATTACAAAGGCATGCCACAAGATTAGAGTGTCATGATCACACAGCACTAGATAAGAAATGAAACTGATTCTACAGTGGAACATCATGCAAAGAACAGATACTGGTCAAGTACAAACAAAGCAATGGACCGGAACTTAGGGATGTAAGTCCTTGTATTCATGAGTTTTTAAAGACCAAAAGAGCCGAGAGATACACTAGAAGCAAAATCAAGGTTCAACAAGCAACATCCCAAGCAAGAGCATAGCAACTTCTGTGGCCATAACACTTAGGGATGCCGAAACCACGAAGCTTTACAATTAATATATTTTACCGTGTACCATACCTCTCTTTATTTTACTTCTTGACCGTATAAGCCTCTTTCTTCCCTAATATATGAACCTCCATAACAATGTTTAAAACTAAAGCAAGTCAACCTTCTTTTCTGCAACTACTAACTGCGAGGAATTTAGCAGTCACAGATCTTATCTGCACCTATACGATGCTGTTTTTCCTTCAACTATTAAGCAAATTAATATATAGAAAAGAAACAGCTAATAAATAAATGAAGATAATAATAAGTAAACTAAAGTCTCTCATTATGAAAAAAGTAAACTAAAGTCTCGCTGAAATCAATATATCCAACTCCTCCTACCTAGATCAATATGACTTGGGCACAATCATCAGGAAGCTCGTAAGAGGGGAAAACAAATGTCGAAGAATCACGTCATGTATCCAAAAGGAGATAAACACAAAAACTGCAGCTACGAGTTCTTTCCGAGAAACATAATACACTTCTGTTCAGTATAATGTTAGACAGACCACTACTACAACCCACAGATAATTACAAAGAAGTGCAAGTGTAAAGCAAACAGAATATAGTCTGATAAATCATAACCATTGTACATAACAAGCATTCATGATTATGCATGTATATCCTTGGTGAATTGGAGACTGCGTAGCATGAAAAAACATGCAATGGCTACAAACAAGAATATGACTTCTACATGAATGAGGTCACCTACTTGATGCAATGTGGATGATTGAGTAGTTCTTTATATTGTTAGAAAAAAAAGAACCAATATAATTACAAGAGCAAAGAAACAGATATACTAACCAAGTCAGAAATATGGGCCTACACTTGGAAGCAAAAGTTCCCGCGATACATTTGTCAGGGAAAAATACAATATACAGCGTCCTGCCAAATTCTCCACAAGATCTAAATGCTCAACTTCCTGTAGTAGTGATATTCTGTCCAGTGTTATCAAATGCTCGAGTATGTGCTCACAGTGACTGCTTCTTTCTGTTGCTCCGCAGCTCTAAGAAAAATCATCACTTAATCCCCACAAAATTGGCACCAACCTAAATAAGATACCATTTGAACAAAAATTAAACAGTAAATTGACTTCAACAGAAAAGGCCAGGAAAGTAATATTATCAAAGAGAGAATAAAAACAATAAAACCACATTAGATTCATGCCAATGGGATCTCATCAAACAAGTTTAAAAGTACAAAAAGCATGGAAGAGATGTTCACCAAATCTCAGTAGGTGAGCGTAAAGGTAAGAAATAATCAGATGCCTGAATTTTACTGAGAGTAAAATGAGCATGAAAAACAATGGGCGACTTAAAACTCGACAAACATTTAGTTCCAACTTCCTATGCTACGTAGCCCCAGAATAAAGTCAGGAGCATAGTTATGAAGTCCCAAATACTTGGATAAAGAACACTAAGGGTCCTAGAAGCATTACTTAATAAGAGTTAGGATTTAGGGCACAGGGAAAAGGAAGGAACATGAAGGTGATTCAACATAGAAAAGGAAACAACATCCTGCTACAGCCTTCAAGTGAAGAGAAAAAAGGAGGGAGTTACCTAGGCATGGATGGAAGCTTCATACTCGTATCCTTAACCTGGCCTCCAGCAATTAACGGCAGACATGTCTGGTCTACATGGCCTCATCGGAGAAACACCATGACCTGCAACAACACAAGCTAGAGTCAACAAATATGGGATAAGAGAAACTCCACATAAGTTTTGTGGCTGACAGGGTACTTTCTTGGCAAACAAAAGCAGGGATGACCTGGAATTGGAGGTGCAGGTGGTAAATTGTTACTTGCAGGGAACTGAACACCAACAGCATTCACTGGTGGCCTTTCAACTGGTCCCCGGAAGAAGCCTGACATACCAAAACCAATCAGTCAACCAAAAAGTTTGGACAGGGAAACATCCAGTTGGAAAAGAGAGAACTCTGCTCAGTTCAAGTGACACAACACAAATAGGTTGACAGACTTGACGTGACTTTATATATTAATAAAGTACTTCAATGGAGTCATATAAACAACAATTACAAATACAAAACAAAAATCGCAATTCTCGATCTGGGATACCATTCTGACAAGTACATACTCCACAGAAATATTACATTGATTGTCCAATGCCAATTTAGTCATTTTGATTCTCCAGAAGCTGCAGAGGGAGCTCAATTTTGTAAGGTGGCATGCTCTTAGTTCCCAAAGTAAGCTATGTCACCCATTCTTTTTCATTTTTTTTTTAAGCAATATTACAAAGTAAGAATCCCAAAGTCTACTACATGGACAAACAAATCGGTCCACTGTCTGCTGCTGACATTCATAGTCAACATACACACCAGTTGCGAGTCAAAATTGAACCTCACAAGTATCACAACCACACATGCACCACAATCGTCTAACTATCAGATTAAACTTATCACAATTGAATTAATCCACCCATATACTTTAGAATTAGAAATTTTCATGCGAAACCCATGCCTGTTGCAGCACTATTACCATTACTCTATTCCCAATGTTTATCAAGGACTCGAGGTGAGAACAGCCTACCTTCTTGGCCAATTGCATGCCCTCCATGCGATGGAGTTCTTCCACCCATCCATCCACCATGTTGATTATTAGCATTAAATTCATTCAAGGGCATCCTCCATTGATCATCACCAACAAATCTCCTATGCCCCTCAGGATGGGATGGCACAGGATAAGGATGGGTATAGGGTTGCTGGTGGTGTTGTTGAATCACTGGCTTTGAAAATGGAAAATGGCCCGGTGCCGTTTGCGGGAGGCTTGGATTCATAGGTCTAGGCACAAACGAAGTGTTGCCCGGCTGGAATTGAGGATTGTGTTGGGATGCTTGCGGATTTAAGTACAGATCATTATGACTATATTCCAGATGTCTAGAAGAACTGAATCCTGAAGTTTCTCGAGAGTTGCAAACGGCTGAATGAGCAAAACGAGGTGACTGCTGACTTTTCATCACATGATCCATATTCTTCGCATGAGGAGCAGTTCCAGCCATTTGACCTGTTTTATTTCCCTGGAAATGATACAAGTATAGTATTGAGCGAGTAAGAATAAAAACACACAATATTCTAGGAAACAGTCAAAGATCATACACTGGATGTACTGCAGTATTCATGAGCTGCAGGCTGCTGATAAGCCAATTGTGGTGACTGTATAGAAGGTTGTGTTGATATTAAGGGCTGAGGATGTAGGGGTTGAGCTGGCAATAAATGCTGATGTAGCAAAGGTGGCTGAGGAGCTGAGGGTGGTCCAGGAGGGAGCTGTGATGGATGAAAAGGTGGTGGTGGAGGCGGAGGCGGAAGATGAAGTGGAGGTGGAGGAGGGGGTGGAGGCTCAGAAGGAGAGCTTGGTGGCGGAGGAGGCAGCGGAGGCGGTGGAGAGGGTGGTAAAGGTGGAAGCTGAGGAGGAGAACCAGGAGGGAGCGGTGGTGAACCATCTGGAAGAGGGGGTGAGTCAGCAGGACTGTTTGATGCCGGTTTGACCACCACCCTATCGGAGTAATGGTCTTCTTCTATATCCATTTCAGGTCCTTCATCCTTGATATGATGACCAGATACATCTTCCATTTCAAGTTCACCATCAACATCCTCCAAGATGCAATGACGTCTGTCAGTGGGAGTAGCAGTATATGCTTCTGACTCTCCAAAGATGGTGCGATCAGGTTCTCCCACCACGGGCATGTCGCCCACTTTCTTAGGCAGCTCCAATACTATATCTTCATCATCTTCTTCTTCAAATAAGTTCCCAGATAACAAACCAGGTAACTGAAATGTAGCATTACTGGACAGCAGTGAACAAACATAGTATGAACCAATTTAGTCAATACACCTACTGTTGGAGGTACCAGTAATAAGACAAATCCCCATGGATTTCATTCAAGTAAGATTGTCTAGTTAATATTCTAACTGCACAAAACGGGAATAAGTTGAGCAAAGCAAGCGCCTTAAAGATAAAAGCCCCACTTAAGAGTCCAAATCTAAACAAACTACAGCAGATTACTAACCGGAAAGGGTACGAACATGAAACGAAATAGTAAACATCCAATAGACTACACTGCTCATAGCAATATAAACAGAAAAACAAAATTCTTCCAACATTGTTATATTTCCTCGGGAGAGCAAAATGTTCTTTTACCATGCCAGCCCCACATCTTATCAGGATTTATTCTCTCAAGTATGAACAAAAATCAAATATCCTAGAAGATAAATCCACCATACCTCCCATACTCATCCACAAGCATCCCTTCCATCTCTCTGATAGGATCATTTAAAGCCCTCTCACAGCGGGATGGACGTCTAAGAGACAAACCACCAGAGATTTCATCATTTGAACCCCCAATTTCATCCATAAAACGCTTCAAAGCAGATTCTGGAAAGATTTTCCGGTGAAGCCATAGTTTCAGCACCTGTTAAGAAAAATATCATTATTGTTCCGAATTCGGGTATAGAAGATGTAGTCAGTAGGTGACTAAGAAAATTAACCTTGAGACATTGCCGGCGATTTTCCCGTGCGCCAGCTCCAGGTGGAGCAGCAGCACTCAAAAGACGTGGTAACGCTGCCTGAACTGTCGGTACGTATGAAGCTCCAGCAATTCCTGGTTATGTTTAGCAATTGAAGACGAAAACACTAACTCTTAGATTATGATTCAACAAATATCCTACAGGATAACATATGATTCCCAATCTTCAAAGCAAAACGAAAGGAACCTTTTTGATGAGAAGAACACTGGGTAATTGAATCCACAAGAAAGAATAAGTCTACTTTTCTATGGGAACTGGGTTCACTTTCTAGCTTTCTGATTAAAAGTTCCACAACCTGAAAAAAGGTAGCATGTTGTTAAATGATTCATAGGAACAATAAGCTGTAAGAAAACATGAAATTTAATCCTTTAAGAATTAAGGCATAGTAGAACATCCTAATGACAAATTAAGTGAATGGCATGTTCACCAAATTCATAGTATAACATGTGATACAAATGTTATTGTGCCTAAGTGTCGGCCATGTTGTTACCCCACACCATGTATAAACAGTATGGGGATTGGGGACTGGGGAGGCAAGTTAAGATTGTAACAAGGTCTGAAGACTAAACTGGCTCAGAAGTAGCAACCAACAGGACAAAATGCACAACAGCTCCCATCAGCCAAAGGTGATGGACCAGTGATAAATCTGGATACAGTGAGCCTTCCAGCAGCTTTTGTACAAGATCAACAGCTCTATGTAATCATCTTCAGATAGAACTATTAACTTACCTCGTTGGAAATTCCATATTTGGCACAGTCTATGGCAAGACGGGTTGCACGTCCTATACTTTCTTTTGTCCTCGACAAAGTCTCTATCATCCCTTCAAAAGCATCACGTGCAACAGCAGCCTCTGTCCCACCACTTAGTGAGCCTCCAGGAGCCCTATGTCCAGAACTGACCCTTCGATCCTCATCCTCGTCATTTTCTGTTCGAGTCTCAGGCCCTGAAGGATGATTTTGTGTAGATGGAGAAGGTGCACTTGGGCGAGGATGAAACTCTGATGCATCACCCTGTGCCCCATTGGACATGCCAGATGGTAAAGGTTGGATAAACGGCGGACTAAGGCTCCATCCATGAGCATCATTAATGGACAGAAGGGTATAACTGGAGTTCCCAAGAGAAAAATGTTGGGTATGAGCTTCTTTTCTTTTTGCTTGAGCGGCAGCAATGAGGTTCTTCATAGATATGGCAGAATCTGATGCATCAGAATCAGCCAATGAAATGCTACTCTCATCTGCAGCAGCTCTGACTCTGAAAATAGGACACAGTTATAGTCAAATGTATGAAATAACAAATGAAGAACATAAGATGCATAAAGTTGTACATAGATTCCACCAGGTATAAGGATCATACTCCATTGAAGTTTCCAGCAAAATGGCATGATCACCCATGCGTGATGGGACTTTTGGAGTACTTTTAGGTCTCTCTACAGAAAGAGCTTGCTTATTTCTTTGAACAGCCACATGATTCTGGGAAGCTTTTGCACCATCTGGGACCATGCCTGATGACTTAGCAGAAACAACCTGGGGCTTCTTTTGAGAATCAGAAGCTGTTTTTACGGAAGCCTTACTGGTTTTATGCTGGTCTACCCTTGTTTTGAGTGGGCCAAGTGACACAGAAGAGTTCTTAGGAGAAGTCAGAACAGTGTTTACCTCCTTTGCCACTACCTGCTCCTTGTCAGCCTGGGGCTTCTTCTGGGCACCAGAAGGGATTTTCACAGAAGCCTTGCTGGTCTTATGCTGTCCCACCACTGTTTTGGGAGGAGCAAGTGGCTGAGGAGAGTTCTTAGGAGAAGTCGGAGTGGTGCTAAACTCCTTGGACATTGCCTGCTCTTCGTCAGCATGAAGCATCTTTTGGGCACCAGAAGTTTTTTGAGAAACCTTGCTGGTTTTATCTTGTTCCATCACTCTTTTAGGTGGTTCAAGTAGCCGAGGAGAGTTCTTAGGAGAAGTCAAAGCAGTGCTTACCTCCTTGGCCACAACCTGTTCTCCAACTTCTCGTGGACTCTGTGAATCAGGAGCCCTGGGCGTCTTCACTGTTATCAGCCCACCAGGAGAAAGGCGATTCTTTTGCAAGTCTGAAGATGCCTCCTTCGACACATCATGATGTCTGGTAGACTCCGTCACATTTGACTGGGAGTTAACAGCACGTCCATCTTGTTGCCTACGAGAACCACCACTCTCTACGTCCCTATGCTTGATATCACCAGGGACAGCTGATGGAGGTTTAACACTTTTGGCAGCCACACCATGAACAGGAGTTTTAGGATCTTCGTCCTCTTCTTCCTCATCATAGAGGCACACGGCTCTTCGCCTTTTCAAATTCTGGTTGGCATGAACTCTAGCATTGCTATACGACAAGTCATTCTTCGGGTCCGCGCTTCTTTTGGCTCTATCTTTTGAATTTTGAACCGAATCATTCATTGCCTCTTGCGCTCGCCGCCGACGTTTCGATACTGGTAACACATCCTCATCACCAGAATTATCGTGCACATTACTCCTTTGACTAATATCTGCTTTTCCTTTACCCCTATCACCAATTGGACTGGGCTTTACTTTTCTCACTTGGGAGGAGGAATCAGACTTAACCTTACCAATATGGGTAGATGAACTGGATTTAACTTTATCCATCTGTCGAGATTCATAAGATTTCACCTTATTGGTTTGTGCAGATGCTAAAGATTTCAACCCAGCCTTCCGCGGTGATGTGTCCAATTTGCCTTTACCTGATGCAACTGATGCATCAAAGTTAGCTTTACCTGTCCGAGCAGAAGCATCACCGTTAACTTTAATTGCATGTGATGCTAGACCCAGAAGAACTTCCCTTTGCTCATACAATGATTTGCTCGAACTGCCACCAACAGCTTCAGAGTTCATAGAATCTTCCAGGGATCCCACATCTTCACGCTTCAGTCTTTTAGATGGACGAGAAGCATCTGTGGCATCAACCTCGGATTTCTCAGTTCCAGATTTGGAACTTTTCTGTCTATCACCCATGTTTTCACGAATGTCATCAGGCGCCTTTGAATTTGCTTTAGCTTTCTGCATTTCTTTTCTTTTCTTCCCATTACCAGATCCCATAGGGTTACCGTCAATTCTAGAAGAAGGTTTTCCCTTCACTTTGTCTTTCAAGTCCTTCCCAATATCAGACAGTTTACCAGGTTTCCCATCTTGCGTTTCCAACAAATTGGAGCTCCTATCTCTATGACCTTTCATCGCATCATCTATTCTCCTAACTCGGCCAGTGCCAATCTGAGACTTACTACCATTTTCCTGCACATTTGAGTCAATGTCCGCTTCCTGTGTGTCACCAACGTTTACTCCTGCAGAAATAGAGGTCTCATCTTTCCCATCTGTGGTTACCATAGGACCAGATGCCACCTCCTGCGCCTGCTCATCACCAGACATCTTGTCAGATGACATAGCCTCGGCAGGACTGTCACCAGTACCACAAGACACAGATGGCTCTGTATCTTCAGAGTCAGCTTCACTTTCTCTTCCAGAACAATAATCTCCTTTGGATCTGGAATCCCCTGCATCTTCTGATGCTTCTCCATTTGATCTAGCAACACCATCATTCAAGTCGGTCTCTCCGCCATCTCCCATTCCATCAGCAACGGGTGTCTCACCTCGAGCATTTACCTTTTTATTTTGTGACTTCTCAAATTCTGCGCAAATTTCCTGTACTGCTTCTTTAAAGCGTTTGCTCTTACCTTGACACTTGGAAGATAACTTGGTCTTTAATTCACTTGTGAGTACTTGGATATCAGGAGGCGCAACAAAAGCTCTGAAATAGAAAAGGAAAAACCGTAGAAGAAAAAGGAATCAGAGGAAATAGGGGTGCAAGTAGAAACCATATATTCACCCTAATGTCAGAAGGCTTTTGACAATAAGTCTTATGCTCTACTAAATCAGACATTAATCGACCATGAACCCCTGTTTTCTCCGTATCCATTCCTTTCCTAAGGAAGTCTACCTAAGAATTAAAAAAAAAACATTCGCAATGTAACTATATTCACTCATCACTGAGTAATATGCCTAAGTTCAAACCTTATACAAAAAGGAAGTAATGTTTATTAAAACTATCACATGTTTCTAGCTACCAGTTCTTTTGAGTGTGACAAAACCATACATTCCCATCGTAAGTAGGGCTTTCTCATTAAGTAAAGTAAATGCCTACAGCAAACTAGCTTGGTATTTATCCACATTATTTATTTGATTAACCAGCCAGAAACCACAACTGCACTAATCGGTAAAATCAGAAAACAAATGCAAATGGAAAGGACTCACATTTCTTGAGTTCCAAAGAAGAAAACAAAATGTTTCTTCGGGTCCGGTGTCTTCTCCCAGTCCTCAGGCCGACATATCTGTAACCAAAACCATAAGATTCAGTTTCAGAGCGCCAAGCATGAACATATACCAAGATGCTTAACAATGAGGATAGCCAACATCCATGGCCTTCCTAGGTTTTCGTTAGATATCGGCAAATAAATCATAAAGAAGGCCAACATTCAAAAGTGAACGGGAGACAAAGAGGCAGTGTTCTCCATCCTGACACACCTAAGAACATATAATTGACCAAGTAGTAATCAGTAATCACTAATCTGAAAATGTAGCAAACCCTAGGTAAAGCTTCCCTAACCAATGCAAATTACCATAGAACAGCATGGCTCACGAAATTCTTGCGTATCAACCATACAAGTGAAGTGGGCAATAGAGACACGTTATGCAAAACAACGTGCGGATGCTCATAACCAACAATGCCAATCGTCTTTTGGGACATAGCCATATAGTCCCCAGCGAAACAAACTTAGGATAGCATAGAAAGCGATGCAAAGTGAAGAACTAGACCACCCAAAAACGCCAACTGAACACAACCCACCAAGATCAATCTAGTGAAGCGTGAAAGCTGTTCAAACCTAAACTAGAGTGACCAAAAGCATTGAAAAAGCACAGCACAGAAAAGGGCAGACCAAAGGTTTAGCCCCTTACACAACAAAACAATAAGAATGAGAAGCAAAGTAGGGAAGAGAGAAGAGAAGAGGTGACCTGGGCAGGCCAAGCAGGGAAGCCCTTAACTTTAGCGAGAACAAGATCGCCCAAACTGAGCTGACTCTTGGCCTTAGCCTTATTCGCTCCCCTTTTACGCCCCGGAGCCATAGGCGTTCAAGTCGATCGCAGAATTGAGCGTGGTGACCTAAAATTGAGAGAGGAGGAGTAGGGGGAGGAATCCAATTGGGGGGCGGATTCCGGACGCAAGAACATAAGGCGCAACCGGCGGCGGCGGAGTAGAGGGGTCAGGGTTCCGGCGAAGGAAGGGTTAGAGACATTCGGGAATTGCAGAGCGACACGCGGAGGGTTTGAAGGATTTCGGGAGAGAGGAGTTGGGTTCGATTTTGTTTTTTTGCGGGAGACGATGGTGTGATTGGACCGGGGGCGAGAGCGCGAGGAAAGAAGAAGGGGGTAAAGCGAGGAGGAAGAGAAGGGGGGAAAGTTCTTTCACGTCTAGGATTTTCTTCTACTTCTGCTTCTGATTCTGGCTGGGTGGGTGGTGGTGTTGGCCTGTGGGTCGGTCGGAGAGGGTGAACACGCTTCTGCTGGAGAAGGGTGGAGTGGGGGTATTTTTGGGATTTCAGTCTGAGAGTTTAATAATGCTGTGTACAATTCCTGTCAGGTAAGCATGGCGTAGCGAAGCGAGCCAGTGAGTGACACTAGTCACCACCAAGTCGGCGATTTCCCACTGGTTGCTTCCTTCCACCAACAATTTTACATATACAAATACTATGTTAAGAAATATGATTGAACGATAGTGATTGATCATTAATAAATCACTAATAATATGGGAATCGATCGTCAATAACGGAATGATTCATGTTCGACGTTTATAATTTGAGGAAAAATCTAGTCCACCATCTCCAAGATCCAAAAAATTATGTTATGGACAACTTAAAATAGACTAACCGTCCACACTTCGTAAATGGACTGAACTGTTGTAGCTTGTAAGGATACAATGAAATATCATAAGCATATATGATTAACAAATTGCTAGTTTTACCCGTCTCAAAGAGGCGATGAACAACCTCCAAATGTTTGTTCAGACTTCCCAATATGTGACGAAAAATGTACAAACAAAACCGTCCAAATCCGGCATTTAAGTAGGACAAATCACGATTGTTGTCCACAATAACAAGTACCGGGGACTGAAATGCAAAGACAAAAGAATATGGTAGAAAGGAGTATATCATGCAATCAAATGATTGCAGGCTAGATTCGAGGTATACCCAAATAAGCCGCATAGGTGCCTAGTTCATTTGCCTGATTCATGTTGGCAGTCACACAAACCAAAAGCGAAAGAACCAAACTGACTACAAACCCCGAAGAGGACGCGATTAAGTTCATAAAATACGAGAGCAAACTCGATTTCGTTAGCCTCAATGGCGGCTACACCATCACATTTCTTGGATTCCATAATCACTATAGCCTGACTTCCATCACATTTCTGAAACGAGAGTTGAACTTACAGCCTGTTCCTATAAAAAACACGCTTGACTGACTGGATTCCAAGTTTTGCTTAACCAACAAAACTTATGGAACAAAAGAATCGGCTGCCCCTAATGGTGATGACAAAAGAAGAAGAAAGCCTGAGTTCCGGCACAATAAGTATATCACCTTTCCCGTGTGCATTATAGAGAGTAGAGTAATCAAAAGCTTAAACACTTCACCATTCTGCAAAAACTTGAGGTACTTAAACTGGTAAGCAATTGGATAACAGATAAAGTTCAACGATATGGAAAGAACCATAAGAGGGAAATGATCAGTGAGACAGTACGAGTGCTTGAACAACGAAAATGTTCACAGTTTCCAGAACAACTAATCTCACTTAAACAAAGAACAACCAAGTCTCTAATCCTACATTGTAAAAATTATGTTGCATACTTGCATGCATGATTAAAAAAATTCAAGATGGAATCATGGCTGCTGGATGAATAGTTTATGAGGACATCAATTATTCGACTGCAGTAAAATATAACCTCTGAGTTCCTCTCTTTTAGATACTCCAAAGCAAATCAAAGATAAAACGGAGAAATAAATAAGATAACTCCGAAATTAACCAAATCTAATTCCGTATGAGAAGCCGATGATCCGCTAATACAACTATCCGAAGAAAGCTAGCGCAATACTCTGACATAAGACAATAGAGCAGTCCATTCTGCCAAAATCTTACCCCTGATCCAGTTTTTAGTTTGAAGTTGAACCCTTCTGTTTGCCTTCCTCGGCAACAGCATCAGCAACCAGATTCATCGGTCGATGATCAATCACCTCATCAATGATCCCAAATTCCTTGGCCTCTTCAGGGGTCATGAAATGATCTCGGTCCATATTCTTCTGGATGATATCAACCATCTGGCCAGTATGCTTTGAATACAGCTCATTCAATGCATCCCAAACACGAATTATCTGCTTCGTGTGGATTGAAATATCTGCAGCTTGCCCACTGTACCCACCAGATGGTTGATGGATCATTATCGTCGCATTCGGAAGTGACTTCCTCTCGCCTTTAGCTCCAGCAGCCAGAAGCAGAGAAGCCATTGATGCAGCTTGGCCTAGGCAAATTGTATTGATTGGGGACTTTATGTACTGCATGGTATCGTAGATAGCAAGACCTGCATAACACACAAAAAATTCTCATTGAAAGTGGCAGTCAAGGAGGGAACACAACATATGGATGAGAAAACTTGCAAACTTTCAGACAATAACAATAGTTATGCAGTCTAGAAGACAGAGAAATACAAATTTTCTTAGCTTAAACTGCTCCAGGCTGACTCCAGAAGATGCATAAGCTCATGACCCTCCAATAAACAACCAATTGTGTAGTTTCGCAATGATGAACACATTAAGTAAATCCTTGATAGTACAGCTAACCAACATTTTCAGCAACCAAAAGAGCACTACAGCCACAGCTTATTGACCCTCCGACGACCTGGACTTGAGAACAAGGAAGGACATTTTCAAGAGAGCAAACATAAAATCGGCATTACCCACGCATCAAATGAATACATCTGCTGCCACCTAAATTCCCTTCAGCAGTAGCAAATGTGGCATAAACTCCACAGGAGAAATCTGCTAAAGAAGTTAACTCCAAAACCCTAAGTAACTACAGCTAGATGACTAAAGACATGGGGGCATTCTACCGGGGCAATAACCAGAACACGGCTAAACGGGTTGTGCAGTTAAACCAAATACTCTAATCAATTAGGAGGGCTAGGAACAATGAACGAAAGAAGACCAATAAGGTTAACTGCACGGAGAACAAAACCACAGCGAAGCCAAAAGCTCATTCCAAATCAAGTAGAACGAACGATTCAATCACCCGGATCAATGGATGCCTAAGCGCAAAAGCGGCACGAAGGGAGAATGAGTAATTGGAGGCAAATTATTCAAAGAAACTAGAGAGAGAGAGAGAGAGAGAGAGTTACAGACCAGCGGTTACTTGGCCGCCGGGAGAGTTGAGGTACATATGGATAGGCTTGGAAGGATTCTCGGACTCGAGGAAGAGAAGCTGAGCGACGACAACGTGAGCGGTGTCGTCGTTGATGGGGCCGTTAATACAGACGATCCGCTCCTTGAGTAGCCTCGAGAAGATATCGTAGGCTCTCTCGCCGCGGGAGGAGTGCTCGATTACCATCGGGATTAGGCTGTAGGCGCGAGACGCGGTGGTCGAGGAGGAAGCCGTCCTCCCGGCGGTGAGAGTAAGGATAGGGCTACCGGCGAACATCTTGGCGCGGGAAATGAGAGCCCTCATGTCGACGGTGGACGGCGGCAAGCGGACGGCGGTGGAGGAAGAGGAAGAGAAGGAATGGAGGAGAGGCCGTGGGTTGTTGGGGTTTATGAGTTGGGTTCGTGGAGTTATGTGGATCGAGCTCGAGTGGTAGTACATAGCGAGAACGGGCAACAAACTCGCACCACGATCTCTCTATTCTCTCTCCCAGGGTAAAGAAAATGGTTTTATCTTAATCCTTCCAAAGATGTTTCTTAATTCTTACAGAACCTTATAGCTCCAGTTAGCTTTGCCTAGGGATGTCAATCCAACCTGTAATCATGGGTACCCTACCCGATCGTAATCGGTCAACGAGGGTAATTACCCGCTTTGACGGGTTAAGGGGCGGGTACGGGTAATACCCGGTTTCAAAATAAAGGGTAGAGTACGGGTATGATAATCGATAATACTCGCCCCGTTATACCCGCCCCGCTAATCAAAGGGTTAATTTCCCTTCAGAAATTTAGTTTAGCTTGAGAAATTTAGTTTAGCTACCATTATTGATGATGAAGATGTAGACGATTATTATGTTTGTGTGGATTCTAGAAGCAAGAACAATTATTATGTGTTTGTTGTTTTTATTTGTGTGGATTGTTGAAGCTAGAACAATTAGAAGTATTGAGAATTTTTAATGGACAACAATATGTATGTGCATATATGTGTATAAGTTTATAGTTTAGGATTCGTACCCATGGTTACCCGAATACCCGTGGTTACCCGGTGGGTAGGGTATGGTTATATAATTTTCATACCATGTGGTTATTTGGTCGGGTATTTTAGAGGGCTCTATCCAGCGGGTTAGGAGTTGGTATAGGATAAACCCGCACCCGACCCTACCCATTGCCATCCCTAGGCCTTTGCCTTGCCGGTTTGCCCTCTTCGATTCGATAGCTCTGGCTACCACAATATTTAGCTTCTCTTTGCTCAACAAGCTATACTGAATTTGGTATGGAGAATTATGGAGCATTTGTTCGTTCCTCGGCATATATAACTCGAAAGATCGCTGAATTTGGTATGGAGAATTATGGAGCATTTGTTCGTTCCTCGGCATATATAACTCGAAAGATCGCTGAATTTGGTGAGCATTTGTTCGTTCCTCGGCATATATAACTCGAAAGATCGCCGATTCAACAACACAGACTCTTGCTAAGGGAAGAAGATTATTCAGGAAGTGAATGACCATAACTCTAAATTCCCCAACACTCCTGCCTAGGAAACTAGATTGAGATGTTCGATATCATTCACGAATCGAATGAGCTTAACATGAAACCTCTTCTCAAATGGAATGAACTCTGAAGGGATCACAATTCACAAGAGAACAGAAACCAAAACTGATTTTCGATAGTCTACTACATTGCATAACAAGAAAACTTCGAACAGACAAACTGTTACAAACTCAAACCAATAATAAGTACTCGAGGATTGCAGTTCTGCTACTGTAGAAATATAACAAACGATACAGCTGAACTACTGCATCTAGAACAGAGATGTTCCCTTGCCCTTCTTGTCTCCACCGATTTCAAAGTGCTTGCACCTCTGCACCCCAGAGCAACAAAAAAGTTAGTTAGCGCGAGATTTGAAAGTAACGAGCATGCTGGGAACGACGGAAGTGTAACTAGTACTGACCTTGATTGGGTGTTGAGAGACATGCTTGCAGCCTTGGCACTGGAGCCTCAGGACAATCTTCTTAGTGGTTTTTGCCTGTGATAATTGGCAAGAAGGGTGTGAGAAAATATCACAACATGTGGAACATAGTTTAACCCCGATGACTCATAAGCGATGCATTCTTTTAGGAAACCAGGCCTCAGAAACTATACATGTCTGTCATTTGTAAGTCATCAGACAATGTAGGCAAATTATCATCATCCCGGGCCTCTATTGGTATAAAAAAAACTAAGATATAAGATATCCCATATGCAAAAACAAGCCTTAACTAGACTCAATCAAGTTTTAAGAACAAGGGATGTTGAATAGTTATAATAGCCAGAGAGAGCAGATAAGAAAAAGGAGAAAGATTCGATGAACACCAATACACAAACAATACGGATGTGTAATCCTTATGATAGCCAAAGAAAGCAGATATGAAACAGGAGGAAGGATTTGATGAACATCAATACACAAACAATACTATCGTTAAACAAGTAGGTTACCTTCTTGTGGAAAACGGGCTTGGTCTGACCACCATAACCGGATTGCTTCCTGTCATAACGACGCTTTCCCTGAGCAGCAAGACTGTCCTTACCCTTCTTGTACTGGGTGACCTTATGGAGAGTGTGCTTCTTGCACTCCTTGCTCTTGCAGTAGGTCTTCTTTGTCTTAGGAACGTTCACCTGCACTCAACAAGATTTTGACCATCACTACACATGTTCACCAAAAGGAAACTACAAGAACTAGCCAGACGCCATGAACACCACGATACTAAAACCGTGTAGAAGGATCGATCAACCAACAGAACTTCATGACCCAGAGCAGAATAGCACGATTAACAGCCGAATTTCATAACCACGGCAAACACGACAGCAGTAACTCAACACTAACCCTATCGAGAAGTAAGATAAACGTGAAGCACCCAAATGAACCAAGTGTAAGACCAGAATCAAATTCCACTCATACATCGTCGCCGTGCTTTTACTGAACCCTCTAACGCTTTCAAGGAGAGGGGGAAAAAAGGTAGCAAAATGAACAACAAAATCAAGCTTCTCCGGCGTTGAAGAACCTAAAATCCAATTCAAACCTACAGAAGCGAATTATTCAGCTCCCTATTACCATCTAACCACAATCTTTCATTGTAATTTCGCTGGCAACACAGAACATTTAGAACGGAAGCCATTGAAATCAGCTCAAGCGAACTACGAAGGAAAGAGAGACAAACGGAGGGAAAGTTTACCATTGCTGCGGCGGAGTTGGAGCTTCGGAACCCTCGGCGTGATTCAACGGTGTATCCTTAGCAGCTATGGTGAAAAGGGTGCTAGGGTTAGCGAGTATTAATCAGCTTGGATTGGGGGACCGACTGTATACGGGCAGGCCAATTGTTCTTTCTCAAAAGCCAATATGGGCTTTTTGTCCACTGCAACTATTATTCTAGATGGTGTTATTCTGAGCCTATGGTTTGGCACGCGATTTCTGGGCCTTCAACATATGGGCTCCATGAACATATGTGCATTCTAAGGGCTCTGGCCTCTGCGACGTAAATGGCCAAAAAAAAGGGCTGTGAGACGTAGGGATGGCAACAAAACCCGAACCCACGGGTACCCACCCGACCCAATCCGGTCAATGCGGGTAAAATTCGTGTTGACGGGTTTTGGGCCGGGTTTGGGTTTAAACCCGTTCACTATTCAACGGGTTGGGTTGGGTTTGGGTTTAGCTAAATCCAGCCCGTGGGTACCCGCCCGCCCATATAATTAATTTTTTCGGTATATTTAATATTCTTAACAACTAATCTTATTTATGTTTGTGGAGACATGTCTACTTTTTTTTTTAATTGTGTAGAATGAAGTTAATGTTATGGAGTGGAGAGTAAAGAAACTTAATTTAAAGGAAGAAACTTTCAATTAAACATGTTATTTATGGATAATTTGTGATTTGCTTCAATTTTCTTGAGTTTTCTAGATTGGTGTTGAACAATTTGTATAGTTAATTTGTGATTTGCTTGAATTTTCTAGAATGATATTTTATATATGGATAATTTGTATTGAGATATTGATATTTGACTTTAATTTTGATAAGAACTTGTAATTGTAAATTTTTAACGACAAAACCCGTGGGTACCCATGAACCCGCGGATACCCAACGGGTTGGGTTGGGTTTGAGTTTTTCAAACCCAGTGGGTTTTACCCCGGATTTTTTTCAAAGATAAACCCATGGGTTTGGGTTTGGCAAAACCCGACCCAACCCGACCCATTGTCATCCCTAGTGAGACGTCAGGAAATAAAAATTAAAGAAATCTGCAAACTACTGACATAGTGACATTCATAGTGTGGTTTGTTAACAATCAAAATCAAACTTTAATTCTTCCTGCCCGCTAATGTATTAATGCTTAATATGCCTGAGTTAGGTTTAGCAGTCAAAATTACTGTTCTAGGTGATTTAGAGTTAGCTTCATAAGTACGTCAAAGACGGTAAGTTCTTAAGTTAGTGAAAATAATACATTTTGGCCATTTATAGATTACTTAATTATAACAAGTGAAATAATTTGGTGTCATTTGGAATTCCTTACCTCAGTGCATTTTACAACAGTTTCATTATCGGTGGGCAATTTTCGTTGGTGTCAATCACTACTTTAAGTTTAATATTTGAATTCTTTCATCAACTCGCGTTGCTGTAATTTCGTCTTCAATGCTTTATAAGTTATTATGCAACAAAATAAAAACTTCAATTACGAAAAGTCTTATAGGAATTCTGATTTCTGGATGTAATACTCACATCTCTCTTTCGTATTCGATAAAACTAATCATCTCTGAAAATTTTATAAAATGAATTGAGACCATCTCAGACTACGAAATATTATGGATGCATAAAATACAAATTATTTAATGTAGTAATACCGTACAACAATCCCGTGGATTGAGTTAAATATTCTTACAATTTGTTCTGTGATTATGGATAAGATTGGTGTAGTTTATAGTATATTATACTCAACTAATCAAGATTGTGAATTAAATTGGAGTTGGGGTAATGATATTATCCAATAACTTTTAATGTATAAATTACATATCTTGATCTCCAAACTCAAATCCGAATATCAATTTACTAAAAATTAATTACCAACGATTCTAATTTACCAAAGCTCAAAAAAGTACATCCAACAATCGGATCACTTGAAACATTAATCATCACCTTGGTGTTATATTTAATAAGTTGTGTATTGGACAACATGCATAGACATTTCATTTCAGCACGTAAAATCAAGTTAACAAATTAAATAACTACACTAATTAACGAGTTATCTTCTTAATTGGTATCTTTGAAGGAGCTACAATTCCCCCCACACCCTCTGCCTAGATGACAAAGTCAACTTCAACATTTGTGGGTGGGCTGCCCTCATTCCATGAGTTAACCTAATAGCAATAATTTATGATCGAAACTACAAAGTTGCTTTCACAATTTCCTACTTCCTTCAACAAAACATAAGTTAATGAATGGAATAGTCAAGTCAGTTAACACATATTGACAAATGGATCAGAGTGCGACATTCATGTTCCATGAATATGTAGTCATGAGATGTATAAGTATAAAATATAGACTACTATACCCAATTTGTTAAAGTAGGTATTAATTGATGTTTTAAGTTGTTATACTATATGCAAAATTAACAACACAAGCCCTTATATAATCCTTCAAACAATCAAGTCCGACGTATAGTATTATTCGATTGAAGTTTGTTCTCTATGAGGTAATGAATTTTAAGCGTCGGAAAACTGTCAAGTGGCCTTACTATGAAGTGTTTTGTAAAGAGGCTCGAAATATATACCAAATTTATAACTCCTCCTCCCAAGCAAGGATTAAAAAACCATATCGTACCGGCGGTTCGACGATAAAAACCTACTATCGGAGGTTAAACCGGTAGGCGGTATCTAGTAGTAGGAAGTGGTTGAACCACAGTTAAACCACGATTTTAATCTAAAATATCCTATTACTTACTGACTTTTCCGATATAACCTCCGATACGTTATTTTAATCCTTGCTCCCAAGGCATCATGACACATCGATTGAACTATTGTATAACGAGCTGAAGCTACGAAATTCTCCTTTTGGAAAATGTAATAAGATGAATTAGGCTGTCAGTCATAATTCTAGAATCTGTATCTTATATTTCAAATTTCCCCTGTTCCATACGAAGAAAATCAGTGTCAATGAATGATGGCAGCAAGTAGCAACTTGAAATTTTATATTTATAATAATTTTTTGATTTCTTTTTAATATTCTCCTGTTCCATGGTTTAAATTTTAGATGAGAGTTTTGGTTTTCCTTATCCACCTTGCCGAAGTCGAAAACACGTTTTCCTATTCTAAAATTATATATGTAATTGTGCTAGTCCTACCCTACGTGAAATACTATGGTGTAGAACCCGCTCTATATTTGAATAACAGAAAAGGTGTTCGGTAACTTTTTCCCCTAGAAAACGTAGCGCTTAAAGGGCGCCCAACCTTTATGCATTAACTAAACGGGGTGTTTGTACCTCAATCCGATCAAGGTATAGCCAGTACAGAAGTGTGCTGCTCGGAACATAAAAAATATGCATCCCTACAGGCAGGGAATGCCCAAACGAGGCGAGATAGTCAGCTGCATAGTTCGCCTCCCGATAAAAACGCTCTAATCTCACTTGCCACTCTATGTTAATCCAAAGTCTTATCTCGGCAACACTCCTATAGTGTGGATGTGATGGAGTTGCCGACTTTATCAAAGTCAGCGTTGTATTGGAGTTTGTGTGCAGAACAACCTTCCTAGTCCCTTCTTCCCAGGCAAGCTTCAACCCACGCACAATTCCAGCTAGCTCTGCTCTGGTAATTGAACCCCCTCTAAGGTTCGTCGAGAAAGCTCTAATAAAACGGCCATCGTCTCCCCTCACGATGCCACCACAAGTTGTGCTCCCGTGTGAGTGTATCACCGATCCATCGATATTGACACACACCCAGTCTTGCTGAGGTTGCTGCCAGCAAATAAGTCGCCGCTCGCGGAGTCCCCCATCTCCAAATATGTGGCTCTCTTTCTCGAAAGTAGAATGGATCTGCTGCTTGAGCTGTTTGGCTTCAAACTGAAGTTGTGCATGGGTTTTCAGCTTCCCTTCGAACAAGTGACTATTCCAGTTCTTCCACAGCAACCAACGTAACACATACCTGCAAACAAAGCAGAGTCAATAGTGTTGCTGCGCCCTGATAAGCAATGTAGTCAAAATTGCGCTTTAAGCAATGTAGTCCAAATATGTGGCTCTCTTTCTCGAAAGTAGAATGGAACTTACGGTTTTACGCTTCTAGGTCACCAAAACGCTTTCGTTTCTATGTAAAAACTTTAGTGTATAAAATCAGACTAAATTGCGCTTTAAAACTTAAAAACTTACACTTTTACGCTTCTAATTCACTAAAACGCTTTACGTTTTTACGCTTTTACTTCACTGAATGGGTATTCTTTTCATGAAATTAATTATAAAAAGTATATTTTAAAAATAAATCCCCGACAATATGATACGTTTAAGATTAAAAGATACATACCAGATACTTTGATGCATTCTGAACTTCAATAAAGTAATCTAATTCACCGTCTTCTAGGCTCTTCTCAAATTCATTAGCATGGAGGGGAATGTGGCTTCTTGATAAGATTTATGTTTTTTTAACTTATTATTAAGAGGCTATAAGTTGCTCTACTTTAGACATTAATTGCAAGTATTTATTAACTTATCTAAATTTTGTGCACTCATATTTTTCATAGTATATGTCGTACTTAACATATTTTTTTGTTCTTTTACAGTATGCATAAAAAACTTACGCTTTTACGTTTTAATTCTACGCTTTACGATTTTACCCTTTTTCCTCTTCTAGGTAGAATCGTGCTTTTGACTGCATTGCTGATAAGTAGTGAAGTGACCATTTGTGGATATTCGGCTCGAAGAAGTGTTCGTCATGTTCATCCTCTAGCAGCTCCGTCCATGTCGCTCTGGCAAATGGGCAGTCGCGCACCGCATGAAACGTTGTCTCGTTCTCACTTCCGCATATCTTTTTGCTACGAAATATATAATGGTTTTATATTCGAATGTTCAAAATTGTGTTCATATATTTTTATAAATTATATCAGTTTTATTTAGTTTTCCCTTTGATTTCAACAAAACTGAACAATTATTTAGTTTCAACTAAAGAAGGGACACTTTCAAATGCATATCGCAATGTATATTTTATAGTGATGTTTGTTAGAATTTCGTAATCATGGCAACATAGTCTAAATTTGCGTTCAAACTTCAAAGCATGCTGAATTATGTAAACACTAATTATTTCTGAAGGACCTAAAAAAAACGACTACGGTCAGGCACAATGTATATAGGTTTTGACCAGTTTTATAATTGTCAAATTACCAACCTGTTGGGAAATTTTCTTTTACTGTTTAAATTACAATTAGGCTAATAACAAAATCTTACATTCATGTACATGTCCTTTTCTGAAATTCAGAAGAAGAAGAAAAAGCCAGAAAACAAAATTTTGTTCAAGCAACGGGGCGACGATTCCTTTCAAGAAGACCTTCCAACACCACCCTTCTCTTGTATTCCACGGAATCCAAATCCGGTCGACCCGAACCCGTACCCAAACCCGAACCACCAAATTCACTGTCGGCTCTCCTAAGAATCGAGCCGCGGTTTCTACCGTGGTTAGCCTTGACCACCTTGACCTCCGCCATGGTTGTTCTCAAACGCGGAACGAAATACAACCACGCCGCCGTACAAACAATTGCGCAGAATCGGCCCCACACAACCATGATCACCAACGTCACCGCAATAATCGACAGCCCCACCACCGAATCCAATTCCCCATCCTCCTTTTTCCGATTTCTCCTGCTGCCCGCCGCCGCAACAATAATTGGTTGAACCTGGTGCAGATCCGGCGCCGGGAATGTTGTGGACCGGGAGATCACCACGCTGTCGTTTCGGGCCTCCGGGTCGGGCCTGGATACCGGGGAGCCCGGATTGCTACTGCTTGACCCGGTCTTCGTTTTGTCCCCATTTTCAGCTTTCTTCCGGCGAAACGACAACTTCTTTCTGCACGTGCCGCTCTTTGGGGACTCCACGTCACCGCGGTTCTCCCAAACGCTGCCGTTTCCAAGCACGACGTCGTTCTCTTCCGATGACCCAGTCTTCGGAGACTGCAACAATAACCCGATGAATATAAAATCATTAATTAAAAATCAGAAGTTAGAAATTTCTAACTAATTTCGCACGAATTAAGTATTTTAATTTCCCATTTCGTTACTCTATGTTCGGATTTGTTTTCTGATAATTTATTATTTACAATTTCACATACCTCTTTGGGGGTTTCCGGCGGAGCAACTTCGGCGGCGGCGGTGGAAACCTTCTTCTCCTCCGTGACGGCGGCGGGGGTAGGGTGACTTTTCTTGGAAGCCTTACAGTTGGGCTTCCACTTGATGAACTTTGACTTGGGGGAATCCGTTGACTTTCTGTGATCGCCTAATTTGATGCTATTGCTCTCGGCGGCCGGGGAGGAAGAATCGTCGCGAGGTGCAGTTAAGGAAACTGCGGCGGCGGCGGCGGCGGTGGCGGGGGGATTTTTCATTGACCAATTAGGAAACCACGGCTTGTGCTTCTTTTGCTTCTGGATGTGATGATTGTGATCAGGAGGAGCTGCTGCGACTTTGATTATTGCGACGGAGTTTCTGTTTGAACAGCCGAACCAGCCGCTGACGGAGACGGTGGCGGTGGTGGCGGGCGGCGGTTTAGGTTTGACGGGGAGATGGGGTTTGTTGTTGGAGTGGCCGGCCATTGGGGAGAAGTCGCGACATATGGAGGAGGTTTTGAATACTTTTTTGGTGGAACGGTTGGGACTATGGATCACCTTTGGTATTAATATAGTGAGTAATTAAGTAGTAGTACAACTTTTTATTTAATTCGAATTTAATTGTGATCGCATATTCATTTCCATGTGTTTCCTTTTTTCTCCTAATTAAGTCTAAAATATAGAACCAACACTTTCAAACTTATCAGCTATAAATAAATAAATAATTAATTAACTAGTATCGATTGCATTGTTTTCTAATGTGAATTTTCTACATTGATTGGCTGAACCACTCCTATATATTTGTTTTTTGTTCGTTTTTTCTTGGACTGTTGTGATCATTTGATTTCAATACATGCTTTTAATGTAACAATACGCTAACAATAGTGTAACACGATTATTGAATGTTTGAGCCAAAAACACATCTCAAAAATAAATATTCGGTGATGATGTTTCCTGTTTTTTATTGTTGTAAAAAAATGAGACTTTAAAATGCATTATTATTTTTGTTCATCAAACAAATTACGAGGTGAAAATCTCATTCGACCGAAGTATAATTAGTATCCGAAAGAATTTCAGGGTGAATCAACAGCAAGGATCCCTTGGCGATGCATTATTTTCCTAGGTAGAACTATTTTTTTCTTAAATAAATGGAAATGCTCCTTCAGGTCAACTGATAAAATTAAATAAATCCAAATATTACCATTATTACTACATTGACAAAAAAATGAACATATTCGTATTTTGAGGAAAGTCGCCTAGACTCGAACATTCAACAATTAAGTTTCACAAATAGTATTTTGTATCATACTTCTTAATTATAATTCCGTTGGTTCATAGATTAGGCTTATATATTGGTCAAACTATAAATATTTATATGAGTATAAACAAATTGATTAACTTAAGTAGGTAGAAAAATACTTGGGGTTGGGGGATATGAGTAATTTCCTTGAAAATTTGTAATCTGTGTGGGGAATTGGGGCCAAGGAAGGAAGACTTTGGACCCATTCGTGGCTCAGTCGTTGATGTTACACGTTTCCTCCAGTCCCACGTTTTGTTGTTCTCTAGTTGTTATAGTTTGAAAAATAGTGGAACTACAACTATTGGTATTTGGTAGTCTACAATACCCCATCTCCTAGCCGAACCTGGATTTAGACGACCCACATCTGTTGTATTTCCGGGATATAAATATATAATTATTATTTTTTAAAAAATAGTGCTACCCGAACACCCTAAAAGATCATGAATCCACCCCGTACTCTAAACTCAAATTACTATCGAAAAATTTGTAATCTCCAATTTCCTCTCTAAATTTTACGGGTACCAGGATACTCTTAAATGACAATATATTCACCACGGTAAATATGTATATCGGAAATCACATAATTTGATAGCCTAGCAACCAACTAAATTTATTTTTGATCCGTTATATGATAGAAAGTTAACAAGCGAAACTATTTATCGCCGATATTAAAAATAAAGTTAATCTATAGACCGATATCTGAACAGTGGCGGAGGGAGGTATTGAGGATAAGGGTCCTAGGACCTCACCTGACAACACATGGGACAGCAAAATCATTTAGAACATAGAGTTTAGTTACGATCATTTAAGTTTAGCACCACATACTCTCATCGATGCTAACTTATTTAAAGACCCTAATCAACTCCAAATTTATTAGATACCCACAGACTTCAAATGTTATTAAATTTTTAAATACCTAGTAAACTCAAAATCTGGCTACGCCACTGTAGCTGAGCGGAAGTAGTTAACTAGTATAATACATTTTCAGATCTACAATCTATTACTTTGGATTTTTGTCCAGATCGTTCCACCATATCTTGAACCTTGTGTCATCTCAGCTAGGCTGCCGGGCTACCCGTGATATATACATCAACCACCTTTTCCCCCCCTCTGTTTTAATTTCGATTATGTCATCTATTCCATGGGTAAAGATCCGATCCAACTGCCTTTGTTGCCGTTTATTTATTACTTCATAAATACTTATTTTACTTTATCCCACCTGAATATTTCTTATGATGAATGATCACTTGCCTTTCTGTTGATCGGACTTCAACGGCCGCCGGCGCAATTCACCGGAGTGTGCCTTGTTAGGACTTTTGAGACGCGAGGGTGTAAGGTCGAGACAAGGTTAGTGGTGACGTCGGAGTGATCGGGGAGATCGATGGGAAATTTGTAGAATGTATTTCACATCCAAAAAAGAAGAGGTAAAAGCACGCAAGTTACATATGAATATATGATGCCTGATGGTGAGAGGTGGCCATGCCAGAGAAAACGGTGGCGGCTATGTCGTACGTAACACGAAAACAACAGGATTACAGGAACATATATAACGTTTATTTTTTGGGTACTTCAAAGAATGAAAGAAAACAAGAAGCTAGCAAATGTTTACTTGTCGATGAAGAAACTAATTCCTATGCATCATTGGTGACCACACGCATAGATTTATGTTTGTGTTGTTTTCGTTGGTTTTAATAAGTTGGTTTGAACACAAGGAAAATGCGACGCGACACAGCAAGAGTGGACTTCCTGTTTCTATTCCTAAGTTTACCTACATTTTTTTTTGATGAATTTTCCCTATATTTTTCTTACAATAATAATATTTGATTTGTGTGTTATAGGTAAAGTGAAGTTTTACCTACATTTAGGAGTAGCAACGTGCGGGTCGGGCGGATAGTGCATTTATGTTATCTTATCCAAAGTAGTTCGAGTTTTGCTCATATTCATATTCATACTCACATAAACAATCGGGTAGAAAATCAAAACCATCCTCGTACCGTTCGGGTATCCATTGTTATCTATGGGTAATAATTTCTCTTTATAAGTCCTACAAATATGTTAACATTTACATACATATTAACATGAAAAGTATAACCTTTGGAAGGCAACAAATCAACTCATACAGTGGTTCCTTTGAAGAACGTCATTGACAAGATTGGGGCAGCGGATTCGCAGGATGCTCGTGGAGGAAGAATTCTTAAGGAGATTTGGCTGCTTCGGCAACAATATTGAGCTTTAGCAGTGGAGTTTATCGGCATGAGTAACAATCTAGTGGCCCATGAGGTGGTCAGGAAGGTCATATCTTTGTTTCTTGCAAGTGTAGAGATTCTTTATTATAGACATTGGTTGTGATTTGGTGTATAGAGTATAGACATTGTTATCCTTTTTTTCTTGGTAATACAAGTGATGATAAAAAGGGAGAAAAGGTAGGTTCTGACATGGGCCCAGCCCAGTTGGGTTTGTGACTCGGACCTCCTTGATGGAAAATTGAACGTTACCGGAAGCGGGCGAATCATTGGGCTTGAATGACCCAAAAGCTAAGAACCCAGCCCAAAAGGACATGTTATCCGTACAGTTAATCCTGACCTGACCCCACCCAAGGCGCCACCGCCAAGCCGGCACCGGCGCTTGCGATAATCCGTCAAAGCTTCGTATCTATTTTGACTGTGAATTGACTCAAATGATCAACCTTCCCTGCTCCGTCAAAATTACCTTCAACGCCAGCCACCCCATTTGCCGCTCACCTCTCGCGTTTGCAGAACTCAGAGCGAGTGATAGGTTGCCGGTGAGGAAATCAAGTTGGGAAATGGGGACGAAATGGGCGGAAACGGTGAAGAAGGCGGAGCAGCTGGTGGAGAGAACGATGAAAGGGAACGACGCGTCGCATGACGCTTCCCATGTCTGGAGGGTTAGGAGCCTCGCGCTCTCTTTGGCTAGTGAAGAAGAAGCCCTCTCTTCCAACTCCGATTCTTTGCAAATCGTAATCGCCACAAACCTAATCTCCTGTATCTCCAATCTTATGGTTACCAATTTTTGCTCATAATAATCTGTGGTATGATGTTGTTGCAGGTAGAACTTGCTGCTCTTCTTCACGACATAGGTTATCCTTCTTCTTCTCTATACGATTTGCATCAATTAAGTGGTGAACTTTGAAGAATAGTATGATGGGTCTAAGAATTCTGACATGAATTTTAATGGGGTATTTAGTGGTGAAGCACGGAGCCAAGTTTGGTCTAGTAGATACAGTGCAGTTTGACTTGTTGGAATACATGCTCATTAGCTTTAGCTGATAATGGAATGAGAACTGAAAGAAGTTTACTTTCTTTCGTTGTAACTGTTTCTGTTACCACTGTGCCTGGTTATGGTTATCATTCGTTCTAAACTCTTCATCATCCATTATTATGCTGTTTGCTGATACAGTATTATGGTACCATCCCCTGGTCTTGACTTGTGTTTATGTGCAATTTTCGGTTGTTGCAGGTGACTATAAGTACTTAAGGTATGTGGTAAGGGAGCATATCCCATCTCAGAACATATCCCTCACTCTCCTGTGTTTAGCTTCATTGAAAATTTGCTCTCATTGTTTAGTTTAATGCATTTCTCTGATGGGCTACTGAAAAGATTTTTCATCATTTCACCATTTTCTTTCTTTGTTCCCTGCATTCATGTTTTGTGGATGTGATTCTTCTGGAAAAACTAATGTAGGGATCCATCTGAAGAAAAAATTGTGGAGAAGTTTCTTGAGGAAGAGGGTATTGAAGAGGTCAAGAAAGTGAAGATACTATCAATCATTAGGGGGATGGGTAAGGTGGCTTTGATACCAGCTACTGTGATTCAGTCAATTGAACTAAATCTTGAGTTGGATCATTCTAATAAGTAATGGTATCAATGCCAAAGAAGTTTACGTGCCCTCTTTCATTTATTTTTCATGGGCAGTAGGCATGTCAGGATGGGGTACCTGCATTAGATATGTTCTTCAACTATGATACCAAGGTGCCAAATGTACTAAGAACTATAGTGGGAGGGAAAATTGACTGAAGTGAACAGCTCTGTGTACTTGTTTCAAGAGTTCGTGTTGTTTGCTAAAAATCTTAGATCGGTCCTGAAGATGTTAATTAGGTGCTTTCAACTTCCCAGGTTTCAAAGAGGAACTTGCAGGACATGGCAACAGTGAAAACTGTCCTGAATTTGGGGTTGTCCAAGATGCCGACCGCCTTGATGCAATTGGTGCAATAGGTGATTACTGTTCTCAAATGAATTATTACAGTTTGATGGACTGCTTGTTAGGATTTACATTCAGACTTTGTAGTTGTAATCAGAAAGTTCTATGCTGT